ATACATTGTTAGATTCAGCATATCAAAGAACCCCATATATTCAATTTTTGTTGAAATCAAACAAAGTTTAATTTTGGACCCCAATTTGGACCAACTTGAAAACAGGGCCCATAATCAAAAATCTAAATACATGTTTAGATTCAGCATATCAAAGAACCCTAAAAATTCAATTTTTGTTAAAATCAAACTAAGTTTAATTTTGGACCCTTTGGAAACGGGGCCCAAAATCCAAAAACTTAATACACGGTTAGAATCAGCATATTAAAGAACCCCAAGAATTCAAGAATAAAACCCCATTGAAATTGGTCAAGAAATAGCTATTGCGCAATATTGTGCTATTGGATATTTCTTGCTATTGCACAATACTGTGCAATTGAAGATTTCTTGCTATTGCGCAATACTGTGCAATTGAAGATTTCTTGCTATTGTGTAATTGAAAATTTCTTGCTATTGCACAATACTTATTATATAATAATTTACACATCTTGTTTGGTGTGTATCTCCTACCATATCATTATTATTTGCTTTTAAATATAAAACAGAAATAACCAACTTCAAATGGAAAATTTTAAAACAAAAAAAAAAAGGAAAAAAAAAAAATCCCCCCCCCAAATTTTTTGAACCCCCTTATGATTCATCACCTCAAACTCAATCCCAGCCTTCCCGTTGTGGTATGGTACCTTGCAGTACAATTTCAGAGAGATCCATACACTTGAACACAAGTTATTGTCTGGAAACTAGAAAAATGCTTATTTTTGGCCCCTTTTTCCTAAACGTTTTGGGCAATTACCCCCAAACTCAAGTCCAGCTTTCCCTTTGTGATATGGAACCTTGTAGTACAATTTCAGAAAGATCCATACACTTACACACAAGTTATCATCATGAAACTAGAAAAATGCGTTTTTTGCCCCTTTTTTGGGCCCCAATTCCTAATATTTTGAGGCAATTACCCCCAAATTCAATCCCAGCATTCCCGGTGTGATATGGAACCTTGTGGTACAATGTCAGAGAGATCCATACACTAACACACAAGTTATGTCTTGATGCTACAAAAATGCTTGTTTTTGGCCCCTTTTTGGCCTTAACTGTTGGTACCATAACCCCCAAAATCAATCCAAACCTTCCTTTTGTGGTATTGAACCTTATGGTAAAATTTCATAGAGATCCATTCACTTAAACTAAAGTTAGAGTGCGAAAACCAACGTGTCTTCGGACGACGCCAGACGAAGACGACAACGACGACGACGCCATACCAATATACGACCGCAAAAATTTTTTGCGGTCGTATAAAAATCGTTCAGGACACATTTTAACAAAATTGATCCATTGTACGTTCGGGTTGATACATCCGTTATTCTGGGCTCCCCTCGAAAGCTGCGAAGGTACAGTGGTATCCATGGACACTCCCCAACATGATTAATGGAGATGTGTCACTAACATATGTACAACCAACCACCAAGGACAAATCCCCAACCCAACACCACGGGAGTGCTAGGACACCGGGAAGTCTGTTATTATGGTGGAGGTAGTCTAAGTACTCGGAGAGAACCACCAGGCAACTCGGCGGGAACAGACAAACCGAAGAGATATATGAAGATTGATCTCCTGGACGAAGTCGGGGGCCACTTCGAACAACCGAGGCCCCCAAAGTACCCATTCTAGTTTAAACTCCGGTATTAGTACCATTGATTAATTGAAGATTTTTGGTTAATGACCAGACATCAAAGGATGCCAAATGATAGCAATGGCTCACACGATTTGTTTGGTCAGGCGAGCTAAAAAGGAGCTGCATTGATTGGTGTTTAACGCTACTTTCAGCACTAAGTATTTCGTGGTAGTCAGTTGTTATTGTTTGAGTGCGGAACGAGGCGAAAAATTTTTGGACCTTTTTCTTCGGTAAAAAACAAAATAATGGTGAAATGCACTAATGTTACGGTTCCCGACTCGGAGCATGTATATTTTATAGTTAAAGCGTCAGGGTTTGACATTTTTTATGCCGAATTCATTCCATGAATTGTCTATGGTATATTAAAATGATTGGATGGATCTTAACAGCAGCAGACCAATAACAAGAAATTCCAAATTCTAGGGTATAAGGCGTTACTCAACATTTCAATAGTCCTAGACCAGGAATTTATGAACGCGAGGCGTAATTACGGTTGCCCTGGTAGAGGGTCCATGGGGAAGCTCAGAAGCTCCTGCATTTCAACATTTTAGCATCAAATTATGAAGTAGCCAGACTGATAATTATCTCTCTATTTTAGATAAAGTTCTGGTTTCGTTGAATGACACACATGATACATTGATAAATTGCCATATTCAATACAATATTAGCGGATTACGATGGGGGTTTTTTTTTTTAAAAGGGGGGGGGGGGGGGCGTACGCCCATTACGCCCTCACCTGGACCCGCCGATTTAATAGGATGGCCAAGTAGCCACAAGTGGCTTATTTATTGTACTACTAAAAATAGTTGTCACAAGTCAGCGAACCAGTAGTAATTGTAAACCATAACAACTGGATTAGTAAAACTTGTTTTTGCTTTTGCAACATCTTTTTAATCCACTACATTACAAATGCATGGAAACGATTAAAAAGTGCATCAATTATTTATTGATATATTCCATTCGCCTTAAGTTTTTAAGAGACAAAACCATAAAATTAGGTCAAAAATAAATAATGACCAAAACCCATAAGGACTCAATTGATGGTATCTTTCAGTTACTAGTATGGAGCATTTTAAGATATTTTATTGACGATCAGTTCAGCATATTTATCATGATTGGTTGACCGACATCATTAAGACATTTGATCGATTTTTTAAATAATGTTAACTTCAGTTTGTTCTTATGTTGTGCTGCAACACTACTGTCCCATGTTACATGGAAGATTTAGCATTCGTTAAAACATGTTTAACCCGGAAACATTTAGTATGTGCCAGACCCTTAGTTAGGGCTATTCCATTAAAATATATGTGGGAGGGTAGGAAGGGACTTTCAAAATATCCCTACAACCAAGAACCATTTTTTAGATCATTGTGAATAATGGTAATAGACGCATACTGAAAAAAGACCCATGACCCACATTCAATAATTAAACTTCCCTTCCACATACATTTTAATGGAATAGCCCTCAGTAGCCTGCAATTTAAAGGTCTATCATATTGTATATTTTGTACATAAATCAGGCCATTGGTTTCCTCGTTTGAATTGTTTTACATTTAGTCATGTCAGGGCCTTTTAAAGCTTATTTTATATGGGTTTTGTTCGTTTAAAGGCTGTACTGCGACTTTTAATTGCTTACATCCAAGTCATTTGGTCTCTGGTAATTGGTTGTTTCATCGACAATCATACATCACCTTATTTTTATATCTAACCTACACACAGTAAATATCATTCTACACAAATTTGGTTAAATTGATCCAGTGGTTTAATAAAGACTTTTGATTAATGACCACAGACATTGACAAAAGATGGCTCACACGATTCATTTGGTCAGGTAAGCTATAAAGGAGCTACATGATGTTATCAATTCGCCTTTTCAGAATCCAAAGGACTATGGGTAATCTCATTGTTCGTATACCAAAATGAAAATAACATTGCGTCATTGGTTTAACTTCCATTGTTTAGTACATTTTAAACCAATCACAACGTTTTAGTGTACGCTTTTGAAAATATTACCCAGAATGCATTAGATTCTTAAACAGCAAATTACTAAAGATTCTCTAAAAGCTTAAATCCGACAATGGTGACAGGACTTGTGGATACATGTGGACAAAAATACATACAATTATAATATACTACCCGATACAGTACACAATTAAATAAGATGCCTCATTTTTTTTCTGTCTTCTGCTTTTAAAGACCAACATTTGTAATTGTCTCCACTTTAACTAGTCAGTGTACTGTTTATCCTTTTGGAGATAGCTTACTAAAGGCTATTTATAATACCACCGATTTAAATGTTGATGGCTGATTAGCCGTAAATGTTAAATTTATATTACTACTGAAAATTTACATGTCACAAGTCAGCGAACCAGTAGTTATTGTCAATCATAACAACTGGATTAGTAAAACTTGTTTATGCTATTGCAATTTCCCTTTAATCCACTACATCATCAGAAATGCATTGAAAACAATTAGGAATTGCATCAAATAATAGATATACAGTTTCTGTTTCATCTCTTCTTTACCATTTTTGTATTGCACTTTTCCCTTGCACAATTCTATGGAATTTACCACACATAGTTGTTGCTTAAGGCAGAGTTTATGTTATTGAGCCTTTCAGATCTTAATGAAATTTTGTATGCATTTATACTTCCAGAGATGGTCAGGTGAGCTAAAAGGCATAACAGACACGATATCATGTTACAATATAACACAAACATAAATGATAAAGACAACAAAGACAAAAATTTTGAAAGGAAACTAAAATAAATCAATCCCTTTTTATGAAGCTTTAAACATGTATTTAATACATTTCTACCTTTATTTCACATTTTTTTTTAAATTAATGATATCTCTGGAAGTTTAAATTATAGATTTTATTTTTTTCAATTTTTAGATTTAGTAAATAATTTCTAAATGCATACAAATCTAACAAAAATTCCAAAATTCTCAAGAACTGATTTATGGCTCAATAGTTAATTCATGCAAACACACAAATTATGTTTGTTCAAAATGAAAAAAACTTTTGGAAATCTGTATTAAAACAAGCCACCATATACCGACGACAGACCTGTATAATATTAGAACTTGGTTTGCTATGATATAAGCATATACCAAGTTTTCAGTATTTCTTTCTATTTTCAGATCATCTCTAATGAAAGAATACCTCAACTTGTTTAGTGAATTTCTTCCAATTCTAAACTAGTTATTTAAAGAACCTCTACAAATTACTCTGCGAAATGTATTGGCCTATTATTAATTTGGTAGTATCAGGTCCAGTAGGACTACTGTTGGTGTTTAACCCTAATAAATAGGATTTAAAATACAAGAGAGATTTATGTTCAGTCTTTTTTTTATTTACAGTCTTTCTGACTTGATCTGCATCACCTGAAAAAGAAATTAAAAATATTTTACCATCCTATTACATAAACTATTTTACCATCCTATTACATAAAACTATTTTACCATCCTATTACATAAACTATTTTACCATCCTATTACATAAACTATTTTACCATCCTATTACATAAACTATTTTACCATCCTATTACATAAACTATTTTACCATCCTATTACATAAACTAGGTCTATAAAGCTTTTTTCCCCCAATGTGTTTCCTATTAATAAATTTTTTTTGTATACTATTTTTTCTTCTTTTACATTACTTTATTAGTGTGATTTTTCTTTGTGTTGATAGGTTGCTGTCTCATTGAAATTTCAAAAAATCTCTTTATTTCAATTCAATTTGTATTTAGCACAAGGTTGAAGCCTCAGCTTTCAAATGTTCTATTTTTGGCACTGGACTAGGGTGTTTCACTCTCTGTTGACAGTTTTGTTTCTTTCTTGCCTGTATGTACTTTTTGAAGTTTAATGCAACTGTTGACAGAAAGTATGACATTTATGATAAAGCCACTGTTTTGGGTTTCTTTAATTTGAAAATCAAAAAGTATTACTTATCTACCAATTAACCTATATCAGATTATTAAAAGACAGTAGTCTATCAGTATTTCTATTTTTGAATTATGTATATGTATTTGCATAAGGGCTTCAAACTTCTTGCATTTCAAATGTATAAAATAGGCCTCTAATATCAATCATATTATGGAAAATCTACATTTTTAATGTCACAAGTCAGCGAACCAGTAGTTATTGTAAATAATAACAACTGGATTAGTAAAACTTGTTTTTTGCTATTGCAATTTCCCTTTAATCCACTACATTATTACAAATGCAAGGACAACAATCAGGAAGTGCATCAAATAATAGATATACAGGTTAAATTACCTTCATGTTTTGTGAACTAAGAGTCTAAATTACATCACTTTATTCATTAGGCAATAGAACCTCCATAATTTAAAGATTTAAGAATTTTAATATAATAATGTACAAGCTTCACAGAGGGGGTAATTATAATTATTTGATTTTTATTTAATAATAAATAAGGTTGATATAATCTTGAGACTCTAGTTCAGAACTGTCACTTGTGATATCAGAAACTTGGGACATCTTACACATAATGTTAAACAGGATAAATATAAGCCATGCCTTGACCTTACCTCTCATTTAAATCTTAGTAAAAATATATACTATTTTTATATCTATAATGTATTAATTACAAGATCATCTCAAAATGAAGCTTTTTTCACAGTTTTTCAGGACATAAAAGCAAGAATTAAGAAGTTCTATAACAGATATCTATGGATACAAAATTTAAATTTACAAATATTGAAGTCTGATAGACTAATGTCTTGTAAACATCTGGAGAATACTATCTGGTAGATTTATTTTGGATTTTTGAATTTAAGGTACAAGTGGCTCTTTTGAGAATTTGAGTTCATTCAGTGATGACGAATTTGGCAGCTAATGTTGCTATTAGTAACATTCATTTGCATATGCCTTTGTTTTTCTCAATCAGGTTTTAAATCATGTTTTCACTTTCCTATGTACTATGAAATAATTTTCATTCATAAGAGCTGCGCCAACTTTCATGATTTGTTATTAAGTTGTTGATTCATGGTATCATAAATTTTGTATTTTTAAAATTAAAAGATTCAATAATTTGAACTTGTTTGTGTATAAAATATCACGATTTTAACCAACTGTTATAAATCAATCAAAGAAAAAAATGGTATCTCACAATAGCGATTACTTTTACTACCACAGTTTAAGCAAATTTGTTTAAAGTTTATTTTTTTGGTGTATACCTACTTTTATAATGCAACAGGTGTCTGGCCTGGTTCTGTAGGTTTGCTTCCCTTTTGCTCCGAGAATGGTCTTGAAGGAACAACTTCGTCTTTAGGTTCCACAATACTAACATGATCTGGCAATGGTTTCTTGGGTCCGATCTTACCACTTGGGTCCCATGGTAACATAATCTTTACCTTGATTCCAAGTACACCTATTGAAAATAACTAAATGAATAAGAAACTAAAGATAAAAGCACCCTTACCCAGTTGTTTTTTTTTATTTTTAATCTGTAAGCATATATTCTATAATATACAAAGACATAGGGTAAAGGAAACAGATTATTAATGATAACATTCATATTGTTTTAATTGGAACAGAAATAGCTAGAAAAAGATTTTACGGAGTGAAATAACTGTTTTGGGTCTAAATTTCTGAATCCTTAACATTTATTTTCATGAATCAATATTGATTTACTTAAATCTAAATTTTATAAGATTGTTGTCAATTCCTTTCAAAGTTTTTTTAAGTGTTTTGCTATCAGTTGTCTTTACTCCGATAGAGTATTCCAGCAAAAGTTATACACCAACAGTAACAAGTATACCTTGTCTAAGAAGGACGTGTCTTACAGCTGTGTCGACATATTCGTTAATTGGGTCACCACTGTGAATCATGAGACCATCAACAAACTTCATGGATTTGGCTCTCTGTCCTCTCAGTTTACCAGAGACGACAACTTCACAGCCTTTGGCTCCACTCTCCATGATGAATCGTAAAACACCATAGCATGCTCTATCAATAAAGAAAGATATATCATGTTCATCAAATTAATCATGAACTTGGTAGTTTACTGTGTGTAAGCACAGTAGTCAATTATTTTATAATTCTATATATTGCAGATTTTTTTCAAATGAATTTTTCTGTATAATAAGGGCTGTTCCATAAAACCATACAGGGAAGGCACTTTCAAATCTAAACTATGGGTGCGTGTCATCTATGTTTTTGTATAGTGGAAATATGAGAGAAATTCTAATTTTCCTCTATAGGTGGTTACCCCATTTTTAAAGTGCATTCCCTATGTACCATGTATGTTTTAATGGAACAGCCCTAAGTTCCAAGTCGAGTATGTTGTGAATAAATATTTACTCGACAATTGAGGTTTGCCTTGACCTTAAATTCATAACGTTGTTTCCAATAAATAAGTTGGGTAATGAATGGATGTATGGTTCACAAGTTATGAAAATTTCTGCTTTTTGTTTTGTTTCAGGTGTCCAAAAAAATGAAAAATCTGCATCAAATTTATGTCAAATTATGGTTTATTGCTGACAGGAGTTTAATTTTTTTCTCAACCAAAAGGGATATTACCAAACTTGGCATTGATTGAAGGTATGGTTCAAAAAGATATCTGAAAACCAAAATTTGCCAAAATTGCTCAGGTTGGAATGCTGACCTTTGATCTCATGAACAACAATTAAGAGGCAGATACCATACAGAAACGAAAATTGTGTCCAAATTTCAATCTATCAAAAGCTATTGTGACCTTGACCTTTGACTTCCAAATCAATAACAGTCTTCCTAATGTAATGGGACATAATCAAATAAACTTAGGTAAAGACTTCAGTTACAGCTCAAAAGACTAAGATTAGAATGTGTAATTGCTATCTCATTGACATAATTATACCTCACATTTTCTTTTTCTTCACAATTGTCATGTGTAAAAATTTACCTTCTTACAGCAAGACCACCAATAAGTTTGTATCTAAGTGATTCACATTGGGCAATAGCACACAACCCTCTTTGTGCAACCTTCTCAGCATACAACTGAAACAGAAATATTCATGATACATGTAGTTCATCAGTATGAATTTCTTTACCTATCTACAAATATGTAATTGTTTAAATGAACCAACACCTGAAGTGGTGATCGTGCGGTAGGGTAAAAAAGACTGGATATCTCTAGGTATTCAGATATTCACAGTTGTCTTTCAAAAAGTAAGAATATCTCGACATTAACGACAACAACACTCATAAATTACTGCAAAGTAATGGTAGCCATGTTTCACCAGCAAGCGTGGCGTCTTCAGGACAAGTATATATATGACACATACATACATTGTGTATTCACACATATCTGTATACAGTCTCATTGGAGGTTCCTAGTGATATTATTATTGAGATGATGATGATCACAGACGTGTGTGAATAGCAGCCAACCACTGTTAATAATTTTATAAACCTACTTTCACTTTCTATTCAACTTAACTATTTTTATTTCCCTTTCCCTTTCTATTTTTATCCATAATGTCTGCCTACTTGTGTTATGCATCATTCAAAATTGAGGACTAAGATGCAGTCAATCAGAGTAAGTCAAATGTATTTTTTTGAGGACACAAATGCTCAAGTCTGTTCAATGAGTTGGACATGGATTTTGCAACTGAAAGTCGAGGGCTTATAAATCCATAGGGTTTTCAGAAAATGTTCAAGTAGGAGGCTCAATAGTCAAAAGAGGCTTTTGCTGAGAGTACCCAGAAAGACCCTTACATTTTTTCCCTGAAAATAGGACAAATAACATTTTTACCAGTATTGGTCTCGACAGTCAACATGTATTGTGTAATATAGAGTAAAAACATTTCTGACATAAGAAAACATCTTGGACAAATGGCCACTAACCAGAAATATATGGAAAATGCAATACATGATCTGATTTCAGGAACAGATGAGGCTACATATATTTCAATTTTTATCATTTGCAGACCTACAAACACTTTCCAGCAGGTGACAGTTCACACATATAATTATTGATTTTTCTGCCAGTGATGAGGCCAAATAGATAGCAATTGACATGTCAGAAAATTTAGTGAAAATCCAACTTAATTCCCAACTCATTGGAGTTTGTAATTAACAAACATCGCTTGCATGAATGACAAAATATAAAAGAATACAGGTACAGTCGACTCCACTTAATTGCATACCGCTTAATAGCATAATTCGGTTAATTGCATAGTTTTCTCCTGCACAAAACCATTTCCCATTCATCTAATGTTAAATTGTCCGGTTATATGCATACCTCTACAAGTGGCCTTTCGGTTTATTGCATAGAAAATTATCGCCATCTAGATATGTTTGGTTAAATCTGTCAAAATTTTTGACCGGAAACGGCAAGTTGGTGAGTATATTTTTCTTGAATGCATCATTATTTTCATTATTATTTAATATTTACTTTTGTGTTATTCAAATAAAGTTTTAAAACAGTTTCTTTCGTGTTTATATGATTGAATTTGATTAAAAATAAACCTCGATATCTACACAGGTAAAGTTTCCCATGTTCTATTTTAAGCCTCGAGGTCATAAAAATGTCAAACAGGTAATTGTTGTAAAAACACTGACCATTCTATCTAAAAAGGTGTAAATAATTGATTGGATTTCAAACATTGTCCATAGATTACATTTGGGTGAAATTCAAAAACAATAACGCCTGCTAATTATCGATCATTATCCAATGTGAACCGTCTCGTAATTGGGCTTGGGGTGATCTGCATTTATGTTAAATATTACAGGGCATTTATATATGGTTAAAGAATTTTATACATCAATCATTTAATTTTAATGTATTTTGAAAAGAGCATCTACTTCTAATTATTATATTTTCTCACTCTCAATACTCGTGTCCAGCAAATAACCCGTACAGGGCCCCATTACTGCTTTGCATATACGAAACTAACGAAGTTAAATAAACAGTGTTACTTCACTCTGCAAGCTGTAAATATTGTATATCAAAGGCAGTTTAGTACACATCTACTGTTAAAATGATTATAAACTGTGTAATTTTGTTAAACAGTTTATTTTAATCAAAGCGTAACAATGTACATTGTACATACGGGTCATAGAAACAATTCTATTTTTAGAACGAATTTATTTTCGTATCCCAGGTAAACTGGTAAAGGAAACGTCGGTACGCAAATAAACTAAAACAAAATGTGTTAATAATCTTTATTGAAATAATACAAAATAAAATAACATGTATGACACTAGACATATAACTTTTATTAATATAAATCAACATTCAATATAGACGTTCATCTTTCTTCAGGGATTTCCTTTACTGATCTGTTCTATCGATGTTATTTGACTCCGTAATTTGGCATTTCGGATATAAGCATACTCCGCTTTATTGCATAATTTTGTCTGACAAATAGGCTATGCAAATAACCGGAATGTACTGTACTGTGGATTCATTATTATTCGTGGGATACCAATTTTCCTGGATTTCGTGGGTACAGGTGAACCACAAATTTGATTGTTCAACAAATTACAAATTTTCTATAGGCTTGTATATCTAAATCAAATATCCACAAAAATGTAAGTTTTCCCTTAATTTACCAAAATTGGTACCAAAGAATTTTTTTTTTTTACAATAAACTCTTTTTTAAAAATTGTATAACCTATCCAATGTCATAGCAGTTCTCATTTTCTTACAATAATATATTAATTCAATTTACAATTAAAGTTAATCTGTAAATATCAAAGTTTTTAAACTTGTCTTCAACTGCTTAAAGTCATATGAAACGAGTTTCTTGTTTATATTATAATGTTATCGAAATTATTAAACCAATGCATGCATATATACTAAACTAAGTCCTGTATGCAGGTTTTTTACATTTTTGAATTTTGTAACAGAAATAATAGTGAGGACCGGCAGATTTTCTTCAAGTACCACCATGGAAAAAAGATTTGGAGAACTCTGATGATAGACAAATATTTCATTCAGTGATTGTTGATCGCAACCTAATTAACTTCCGAGTTTGTTTCCAAATTTTAACGGATCATAACATTGATAAACAATCAACACAGCGCATGTGGAGCACATGAAAAATAAGTGAATTGAAAGAGCCATGATATTTCTTTTTTATATTTTTCCATGCTTTCCCATTTGTTAATTTGACTTTTCCTTAACTTTTGTTTAATGATTTGGTGTATTTAATTTGTTCTTTAATAATAAGTTATTACTATTTACCTTCCAGTGCACGTTTGTTTGCATTCTTTCAACACTATTTTCCCCATGCGCTGTGCGGTGGCTGAAGTTCTAGCAAGAGGGCTCCTAGTTAAGGTCATTGCATATGGGAAAATAGCAGCGAACTAGTGTACCGGAAGACAATAATTCAATAGCAGTACATTTATGAAGATTTTGGCATTATAAAGGACTTTCTTTTACAAGAAAATTCATGTACGCTTGTTTTAGAGTAAACCTTAGCCATTCAAGTATATAAAACAAATTCAACTTTTTTTGTAATTTGAAGTTTAACATATGACTTTAATATTTTGATTAACAATAGAAATACCTCAACTGTGCCTTCAGGAAAGTTGAATCTTTTCTGTACGACCGATGTCAGTTCTCGGATACGTCTACCTTTCTCACCAAGAACGTTTTGTGTTCTTGTGGCCAGGATAATAATTTCTGTTCGTGTTGGGGTTACTCTGACTTCAACACCACTGTATCCATCTTCAGCTAGTTCCCTAGTCAGGAAGTTGTTCAATTCTGCTTTGAAAACTCCATCAGCAACAAACTACAAAACAGAAAAACTTAATTCACCTTCATCTACAAAATGTAGGGGTACTATTTTTAACTTAAAATTTATGGGTGCATTAGATCCTAAAAATTTCATTTTGTAAATCATAGCAAACTTAATTAGTATAAAGTTCATCTAGCCAACTAAATTATAAGCCTAGTATCTTTTTTTTTTAATATTTGGCATCTACAATTACACAAGTCATACAAGTTTGATGATGATGATGATGGCTGGCTGTGTAATGTCCCAATGTCAAATTTAATACATATTCAAGAGAACAAGTTAATGTAATATTAACATTAACCCTGCATTGTAAGTCAACACCCTGTGCTGGAATTTAAACACGCTAATTACCAAGGTAAATGTCCACAGGAAGACCAGTCACCCTACCCAAACACATTATTTGGAATCCCAGTTGACCAGCCTTTGCTCTTACTCCTTAATGCTGAGTGCTTTATAGCTATGAAGCAGCAAATTAAAACCAATTTTAACATATTTCGGTTTGACCCCCCAGCCTGGGTTAGAACTCACAAAATCCTGCAATTGAGACAAACATGCTACATTTGTACCACAAGACCAACAAGGCAGTTTATAGAAGTTTTAACGGCATAAATACTCCAAAAATTATGGATTTATGGTAAATTAATTATGGTTTACAAGAACATTGGTTGATTTGTAGCAGGGATAACAATCATTAGTTCATGTCTTTATCAGCAGTCAGGGATATAACTCTATAAGGTTATTACAGAAAATAACTTGCATGTGTTATTACAGATACTTTCATGAGTTGTCTACTCTTTAATCCTTAAATTTTCTAAATCTGTAATAACATGTTTGTTGTTTGTAAAAATAAATCATAAATATTTTTTTAATTTTTAGTGGGCTCTAGGGTACTCTTAAAACTTTGCGCAGAAACTAAATGCATAGCCTTGATTACTAATTTTTGAATTATATCTAATACATTTTTTCATTAACCATGGTAAATCAATGAGACAAGGCTTTTAATGAATACATTTTAAACTTATCTGTAATAACAAGACTTGGTTATTAAAGGCATGTAACTTATAATATGAGACACTTGGGAATTACTGGGAAGCTTGCCCAGAACCTCATTACATGCTCTGATCATTATTCCTTACAATAAATTAAAAGACATTGTAATTCAGCATGATGTAAGTCTGAGCAAATGCTTTGGATTGATGTAGAGAAGCTGTAATAACACCCTTTAGTTATTACAAGAACATTTTTTCTCTAATAACATAGGTGTATTATGCATGATTGACAAACTATGAACTGTTATATCTTTCTATAGTTAAGTATACATAAAGACAATAGTAATATCAGTAGAACTTGTATACATGTTAACAAAACTAATGATGTATATTGTCCCTTTGAAACATGTAACATACATGTGTTGTCAGGGTTCTTTGATTTTTTAGTCCACAATAACAAATGTATATTATTTTTCTGTAATAACCCTATAGAGTTATATCCTTGACTGATCAGTAAAATCTGAGAAAATTATTTTTTTCACAAACACATTTCATAACCGCCATTAAGTGTCTCTTGGAGAAATAAACCCATAATCCCAATGTTCTGATGAATTTGACAGTTTTTACAAGACTAGGCAACAGTTTAGTTTCCTATGCATAAAAACAAGAGTATAGGATTTCAAAAAGAAATTACAGGATGGAAATGGGATAACGTTATCAAGGGGGCAATACAAAATCAGAAGTCGGACCGGGACAGAATTCAAAATTGTAAATTGTCCCCCTCCCCCCCCCCCAAAGTATGAACGAGTCTTGCAATATAATTTATCAGTACTACATGAAAAAAATAATGATATGCATTTTATTCAGTCCGTTGCTTCGTGACCTTACAAAAGGAACATACTTTACAGTTCAGACAGTCTTATGCTTTGGAATCACAATTATATTCAACTCAAGTATGCTCAATTTTAAAACGACAGAACATCTCCCTATCCGTTCAGAATCTGTCAACAACTTCGCCATCGGTAACAAAACTTAATATAAATAGAGAGTACAATAACTGGTGTTCATGTAAGGACCGTTTAATATTTTATAATATGTAGAAGACTAAGTGAAAAAGGAATCTAACCTTCCGTTTTTTACTTATTGGGTTAGCCATGTTGACGGCAATTTGAAAGAGGAAGTTGAATGTGTAGCGAAATGTATTATGGGAGATCGATCTCGGATTTGTTTCCGTATTATATTTTGCATTAGTTATACATTTTATTGAAGGAAAGTTAATTTTCACTTTTTTAATTAATTTCAAACCAGGTATCTTCGATTAGAAATTTTTCATTTTAAATCTGTACCTTTATCCTACAACAACCAAAGATATCGTCACTTCCGGAAAAGTTTTCTACACGGAGTCCGGTTTTATATTTAGTTTTTGCATTATGTCAAGTTTCACTTTCACTTTGTTTTTGGTATTATATTCTCTAATTTTATTGGTGAACAGCAACGGGATTGAAGAATTCAGAATTTTACTTCAAAAGTTTAACAAAAAGAGCATTACGGAAACACCAGTGTTCTACAAAAAATATCAAAACTACAAGGTAGAAGTAACCATATCCTGTTCACAGTTGTCTGCTTATGAGCTTTATTATATATATTCCATATTATGTTTCTAGTAGTGTTTTTCAATAAACTTTATCGTTAATAATAAGTCCTTTAATGTAAGCCTTTGTATGTCTATATTGTTTGCTTTTAACAGATATTTTTTTACAATTATAAGGAGTGACGAACAGGGCACAAAGCTCAGAACATATAAAACATGTAGAAAGTTTATATATATGAAGGACTCTGAACCGTGATGGTACACTGAACTGTGATGGTCACCCTGATATGCCATGGTTTGATGCTGAAGTGCGATGGTGGCATTGTAACGCTGTCTTCCTGATAGCTATGCAGAAGTGCGATGGTGGTTACGCTGAAGTGCGATGGACTACATATTTTATTATTTCAATGCTTTCATATTTATATAGAAGTCAATTTGTTTTTAAGAAGCAGTTTTCAGGTCTTCTAAGCTTATAAGGGGCTTATAAACTTTTAATATTATGGAAAACGGGGAGTCAGTGATTGGTGGAGAGGGGAAAGTTAACCTTCTGTAGCCATTTTTTTTTTTAGAAATGTGCAAAAGGTTCTTTTTTACGTATGATAGAGCACGGCATTCGCTAAATACATATGGGTCTGCAGACAGACTCTTGGTTTCATAATATTACGGTAAACTAGGAACTCATGAGAGTAGCTAAGCAAAGATAAAATTTTAACATAGAATTATGTTCACATGCAGAAAATCAAAGAGGGCGATATCTCAATTTGTATGAAACTGTAACTAAGGACATCCATAGACAATAACAAATGCAAATTTATATACTTACCATTAAAAAGATCTACTTCTTATAAAAATTGAACTTCTGTAGATTTAAAACTAGCCATCAAGCATAATATAGACCATGGCACATCAGGGAACAGACCACTGCATTTTTGTGTGACCATCACACTTCAGCATCACCATCACACTTCAGAGTCACCATTGCACCTACGAGTGCTTAACATATATATATATATATTGTATATATATATATATATTATATATATATATATATATATATATATATATATATATATATAACAAGTCTAAAAGGGTACAACATCACCAAAAGATATTTAAATCATGAACAAATTTTAGATATTTTGGATAACTAATATCCTTCATCAGTAGGATGTAAAATGAATCTTATCTTGACATGTGGTAGTCAAACTGAAATAAAAATCTTGAATGCTATACAAATTATCAATAAACAATACGCTGGTAATTTTTTTCAATATTGATGTTTGGAAGGAGGAATAAATTTTCTAAAACTGTAAGAGTCCAAAACGGAAGCCTGAGTTACGGGAAACAAGTGATGGTAGAGAAAATGAGTGACACATTCTATGTTTTTTCATTTATGCCCTCTGGGGAAACTGTCCTAAGCTTTCTTATCCAAAACCTTTCCCGAGCAAGTCTGTCGGCCCTTGACCAACCCTCGTTGTGGTCTATGATAGTGATGGTAAGGTTTTTGAGATCAGCTTGGGCATGCACAGATGATCTCAAATGACGACTTACGGGGAGGTCGGGCTTGCAGGTGTAGTCACTTCGATGACCATTCATGCGTTTGTTGAATGGCTGTTCTGTCTTGCCAACATACTGCATGCCACATCGACACTTAAGAAGGTATACAACATTCTGGGTTTTGCAAGTTACATTGCAAAATATAGTGTACACAGACCCGGTGGAGTGGCAAGTAAATGTTTGAGTATTCAGTATGTGTTGGCAAGTCTGTGCCATGGTCTATATATATAAATAAACTATCAAAATTAAGGTTGAATTCACATGATCTAAACATTGAAAAAGGAAGAATCATTAACTTAGATATTGGAAATCAATTATGCAATCTTTGTGATCAGGCTGTTGAAGATGAGGTACAATTACTTATGGACTTAACCTATCTTCATTAATAAAGAAAACCTTATATGAAGATTTTCAGTAAGAGTTGTGATGATTGAAATATACATACTGTAAATTCAGAAATTATTGCGAGGTTTTTATTAATGCGAATAATGCGACTGGGTGACTATCACAATAATAAGAACTCGCATTCTGATATCTGTTACATATATCTGTATGCAGATTTTCATGATATCGCAATAATTAATCTCGCATTTTTGTCCATTCTTGAAAAATCGCAATAATAAATGCACGCAATAATTTCTGAATTTACAGTAGTTCAGAAAATAAATTTATATGGCACATGAGCAATTAGTTTTTTCAGATGCATGTATCCAAAAAAAACAAGCACACTAATACAATCATATCATGTTTTTGGGTCATAAATTGAAGTAAAATGAAAAATTGTAGTTATTTTTATTTTCAGCAGTCAACATTAAGTTACCTGTTTAATTGTATATGATAAAGGATTAGAATATGAAAATAATAAGTCTGTCCTGTCTGGTTATGATTGTCTCTTAATAAAAACCATTCCTAACCATATGTGCTTTGCATAGCAATTAACTTTTAATTACTGACTGTCCTTTTATCAGCTGATATGTTTCTTATATATTGGGTACCCCTTATAAATTACATCTGTTTATAAAAAAAAATTATAAAAAAATTATATAAAATTGTATTTATATACATAACATTTTAAGATAAAACCAAGAAATATATGATACATGTACCTTCATTTTTGCAATTTTCCATGTAGATTTTTGTGTCGTTTTCTGTAGGATAGTTGATGAACACTATTGAATATATTTTGATTTGCTTAAGAACTTGTCATATGTGCTTGTCTGCTGTTGTAGATGGCATAGTAACCTCTAGACATATATGTTATGGTTAAGTTACAGCTCTGTTAAGGATTTCAGATTAAAAATTAAACAAGTTCAAATCCAGTACACAAACTACACAGGAATAATAACACCTGAAACTTTTGTACTTAACTCCTGACGAAAACTGTGCTAATTTAAAAAAAGACGCAACTTAAGTCCAAAAACAGCAATAAAGCTATTTTTATGTGTAAGACTAGTTCAAGTTTGAAATAAATAAAAAAAATTAATTGAAAAGTTTCCTTATCCAACGGAAATGATAAAAAATTAAATGCTACTCTTTGGTTTGTCTTTGTAATTGAAGTTAGAAAAAAGATTTTCCTGTTTTGTCATTTTGTTATTTATCATTCGTATTGATTCACTACTATTTATATTTTCAGACCAACTTAGAATTCCAAAGATTTCTGAATGGAACTCACAAACTTTTAAGTGCATACTATGGACCTACAAAATTTTCCGATCTTTCTCATGAAGAATTTAAAGGTATAGGCTTCATTCCTGTCTCATCAATTAATATAATATTGTGTTGTTAATTGTACATGTATTATATTTTATACTTCAAATTTTTGGAAGTATATCTCTCTTTAAAGTGTTTTAATGTAGGTCAGAATTAAAATTGAAATAAATTATTTGAATTTCTGTTTTCATTTAGTACTGAAGGGAGATATATATTTAAAGAATGGAAAGGGGAGACAAATCCATAATATCTAAGTTAACCATTATTTTCAGCAGAGCAATTACTAATGTATATTTTTATTTTATATTAAGACCTTGTGAGATTGTCTCAAATTTGTTTTTTGTTAAATTTACACTTTTGTCTGCATATAAGTATACTTATTTTGTAATTTAATATTGCAGTATATTTTTAGTATATCATACATGTCATATATACCCTAGTAAAATACAGAATTTTCAATGCAAGATAAAATTTCAATAAATTGACTATATATTTATTTGTATTCAGATCAGTATTTATCAGATTTGAAAGTACCAAGAAAGACCAAAGATAAAAGTCAACAACATACTCCAAGTAAATTCTTCAGGGAATTGGATATTCCTAAAAGAGTTGATTGGTAATTTCCAGGCTATTTTATTTATAACTATGACAATAATCTTTAATTTTGATTTTTTCTTTATTTAATTTCTTCTAGCTAATGATATACAGAAAGAAAAAATTTAAAGCAGCAAAAGTGTATAACAGACTTTACAGTAACTCGCTTATTTAAAACAATTAGAAATTCTATGTATTATTGAAATGTCTACAGCAAAAATAGAATAATCTTATACTGAAATCGTTGCAGCTTTAAATGATTAAATACCTTTTGGTCATTTGAGAAAAGCCCCCAGGTAATGCATGTTACAATCTCAAGTCATTTTGGATATAACCATAAGCACTGCATGACCACTCCAGTAGAGAAAATTTGAATCTTAGGATTTCAAAGATTTCAAACAAAATTGAAACGTTATTCCCCCTTGAAAATTTTGTGACAATATTTTTCAGGAAATATTGGATAACTTAGCCAATAGTAAATGCATAAACAACATAAAATGTGCTTTAAGGAATAGTTTTAAGAAGGTGAAAGGCATAAAGCAAAGACAGAATCTTTGTTTACAAATTTTCAAGAATATTTTAAGGTCATTACTAAAACTAGATAACCATGAACCATATAATTTAGACATAAGGGATAAATTGTTGCTTGAAAATCTGCCATTTGTTTATTATACCCTGTCCTCAAAGATGGGGATATACAGTGATGCACATGTATGTCAGTTGGTCTGTCCATGCACACACCTTTGGTTCTAGATGATATATATAATCCAGCTGGACCAAATCGGTGTTAAATTTGAACACAATGTCATGAACCATAAAATACAGATCATGTTCAATTATGATTGTTTTGAAATATACCTTTAAGAGTTTCCTCCTTACTCATCTTACATAACTACTTCTCTAAATCTTTTAAAATTATAGCACAATGTCAGATCAAGTTTTTTGAAGCCTTTGGCATTTACCATTCAAGAGTTATGCTCCTTGATTATCTTAAAAAATGAGATTTGTTTTGTAATTTCAAATTGATTATTTAAATTCCACCAAACAGAATCTTTATAGATTTTAACACAATGTCATAGATTTTAACACAATTTCATAAATCTTTTTAGATTTTAACACAATGTCATAGAATCCTTTCAGATTTTGACACAATGTCATAGAATCCTTTTAGATTTTGACACAATGTCATGATCCTAAAACTCATATTCATTTTAAAGATTTTGGCATTTAAGCCCTTAATTAATTTAAAAACAGAGATATTTTGGTTTCCCAATGTGAACTAACGTACCAATTTGATTAGTTTTTTTGTTTGTTTCTGGATGATAGCTTATGTTCCACTCGACAAACTCTTTTGACTTCATACATATCATTGAACATAAAATGCAAGTTCCTTTATGATGCACATTTTCCGTTCAAGAGCTGCAGTTCTGTTGTATCTGTGGTCTTCACTTTATTATAGTTTTATCTTACAGGAGAAATTTTAGCAACTTAAACTTTGTGACTCCAGTAAAGAATCAGAAAAAATGTGGAGGATGTTGGTTAGTAGAACAATAAAATATAGATATGATAGTGATCCAAATGTCATTACTTTTCAGACACATTCAAGACTATTTTGACTTGGTGTAAAGTATATTTTACATATAGTTACCTGGTGTTTTGCCTGAAACTAAACATCAACAACATCTGAACATTGTCTCACTCACTCAGTATCTATGAAATAAATTTATGAAAAAAATAATTATAATTTTAATTGTTCTTTACTTTATAGTAAAGAATTATTCTATGCACAACAATCACTTAATTACTAGTAATCTATAACAAAAAAAAGCTTCATTCAATTAATGAAATGAAGGTTATATACATAACAGGCTATTATTTGAACTTGGAATTATTTTTAATTATGGAATTTGCATAATTTCATGTGTTTGAAATTTTTGATAAATTCCATGTTTATTAAGTATTATTATGTTTTGAGCGGTGCATCATACTTTCAAGACAATGTATTTTGTATAGATAGTGTTGTGCGCGGCACAGTACATTCTATTGAAAATGTGCTATCTTCTTTGTAATAGAAAGTGTTGTGCGCAGCACAGAACATTATAATACAGAATAAACATGGAATTCATTAAAAATTTCAAGCACAAGAAAAAATGCAAATTCCATAATTAAAAATAATTCCAAGTTCAAATAATAGCCTGTTACATGTACTTTTATGTATATTATAAGCAGTAAATTACCGGTGATGACTCCACATCCTAATAGTAAAATCAGGTCAAGATTAATATCTACCTGTGTAGATAATACTAGCCTTTTACCACTTCAATAAAATTTTAAAACCCACTGATTATTTGATGGAGTTGCAAGTTGCACTAGATCCAGCCTGATTAATAGCAGATTTTCATAAGCTCCATTTTACTGTGTACACGAATGCCTACAACCTTCCACCAAACTGAAGGGAATTAAGATCTGATTTTAATCAAGTTACAGGTATGTTTGATGTTCATTATAGAGTTTGTCAGGTGTTGAACATTAAGGTTTTTGTTTTACCAAGCCACTCCTACGTCCTCCTCCAATAATAATCAGTGCCATTGAATTGTATGCTGTAAATTCATAAATTATTGCTTGGTTTTTATTAATGCGAAAATGCAACTGGGTGAGTTTTGCAATGATAAGAACTCACATTCTGAATTCGATACATATATTTGTGTGAGTATTTTCCTCAAAACCCAATAATTAATCTTGCATTTTTGTCAACTCTTTAAAAATAGCAATAATTGCACGCAATAATTTCTGAAATTACAATAATTATTGATTTTCATAGCAATTTTCAGGAAAATTTGTACATTTTTCAATTATCCAGGTAATAATACAATTTCATCTATATTTATGTTGCCAGGGCATTCAGTGCAACAGAAACTATAGAAAGTATGAAAGCTATACAGACAGGATTACCTCCCCCTACACTGAGTGTACAGGAAGTTATTGATTGTGCCACATATAATGATGGATGTAGCGGTGGTGATCCTTATCGAGCAGTAAAGTGGCTAAAAGATGTAAGTCATTGAATGTCATGAAGTTAAATATTGTATTCTCATCAAATAGGATGGTTAATCAAATCAATGCATTTACTAAAAATGTTGAAAAGACTGATTAAGACACATCTTTCTACAAAAGTGTGATGAACCAAATAATGAACTTGAGGCTACATATAAATGTCTTCAACACCTCATGATCAGTCTAGACCAATACAATTGCCAAGCTATAAAACAAAATATGAAACAAATTCAAAGATAAACATCTATGACATACTTTAAGTATAAAACATTTGGCAAATAAAACAGGAAGTATATATACTGAAAGGCTTCAAGCTGAGTAGGCCACCTTTAATAACTTCAACTTAACTTTATTATAAAAAAAAACTACAGAGTACTTATATTAAAATCAGCAATGTAGTATTGAGTTGCTATACATGTAATATAAATGTTGATATTTCACTTCCATATTTTACAAGATCAAGTCAGGTTTCATAAAAACTGTTTGCATGGTTTTTCTTTTAAAAGTTAAACAAAGTTAAACAAACAAAAACTACACCTTAGCTAAACAAATTTCGTTTAAAATATCAGCATGATGGCTCTCAGGTTGTTTAGTATTCAAGATTCAATCTAATGATTTATCATTTACCAAATACTGTTGATATATTCTAAAAATGCATAATCTAATATCTGGTCTATATACCAGCTTTGATAAGTGTTTGGTATAACTATAAATTTTCACTTCGTACTATGAACATCAAAATTATTTTTTTTGTAAAAATATTTCCTTTCTCTATTGGTACTGTACACGTATACCTAACAATACAATTATTTTCATTTACCTGTGTTTAAAGTTATTGCAAATGGATGGTATTTTTGTTCGAGCATATTGTTTTTCTTTAATTGTTTAACATTTCTTACCGATATAACATGTTACTTTTATTATTCTTCCCTTAGTTTATTTATTTTGTATTCAAAATTATTTATTTTGTAAATATATTTCCTTTCTCTATTGGTACTGTACACGTATACCTAACAACAAAATTATTTTCATTTACCTGTGTTTAAAGTTATTGCAAATGGATGGTATTTTTGTTCGAGCATATTGTTTTTCTTTAATTGTTTAACATTTCTTACCGATATAACATGTTACTTTTATTATTCTTCCCTTAGTTTATTTATTTTGTATTTACATTGTGTCATAGGTCAAATTTATTTGTTCAGTGTATGTTCAATGGTGTTAATATGTCCTTTGATTGAGTTAAGCTATTTCAGTTGATATTTTATAGTGTGTCTTTCTATGTTGTGATGTTACACTATTGTTTCAGAAAAAGGGTGAAGGTTTGGTACCATTAAAACGTTTAAACCCGCTGCATTTGTTTGCACCTGTCCTAAGTCAGGAATCTGATGTTCAGTAGTTGTCGTTTGTTGATGTGGTTCATAAGTGTTTCTCGTTTCTCGTTTTTTATATAGATTAGACCGTTGGTTTTCCCGTTTGAATGGTTTTACACTAGTAATTTTTTGGGGCCCTTTATAGCTTACTGTTCGGTGTGAGCCAAGGCTCCGTGTTGAAGACCATACTGTGACCTATAATGGTTTACTTTTATAAATTTTGACTTGGATGGAGAGTTGTCTCATTGGCACTCATACCACATCTTCTTATATCTATAAACATGTAAATTATGATACTTTCTTTCTATGATATTGGAATTTGTTTTCAGACCCAGTCTCCACTAACAACAGAGAAAAAATACCCACTGACAGACACATCTGATTCCTGTCGTATTATAGTCAATAACAGTGATGGAGTTATAGTCCAGTCATGTAATTCTCAAAGGTAGGTATAAAAGTTAAGGATGTTTAATAAAAATATACATAGAACCCAATGAAGGCACTTTAAATCTTTAAATGGGTGGGTGTCAAATACAGTGAAAATGTTAGTGACATTCTGAATTTGCCTCTATTGATGGTTAAGGGGGAGGGAGGTCTCAACATACAAATTTTGGTACAGACGTCCGGCAGGGGTTTGAAAAACACTCCCCATTCATATATTGATTTTTGTGAATATCCCTACCCATAGTCATAGAAATAAGAAGATGTGGTATGAATGCCAATGAGACAACTCTCCATCCAAGTCACAATGTGTAAAAAGTTAACAATTCTATGTCAAAGTATGGCCTTCAACACAGAGCCTTGGCTCACACCGTACAGGAAGCTATAAATGGCCCCAAAATGACTAGTGTAAAACAATTCAAACACTATACATATATTTCATAGGAAAATTATAACCAATTCATAGCTATCAAACATACAATATGTCATATCTTATTTAGATGTAAATCACATTGGATCATTCATATTATCAGATAAAATTATCAGTACACAGTTTTTACAGACATCTTAAGTTCTTAACAGAAAATGAATATAAATGCCATATAAATTTCTACCCATTGATATATTGCTCCCTTGAAATTGCAATCCATTGATATACTTGACATTCCCAAAAAATGACACATACCAACTGTCTGTGAATACCTTTGTATAGGAAGAGACCCCCACCCCCTGTGAGGTGGTTACCCCATTATGAAAGTGCCTTCCCTTGGTACCATGTATGTTTAAATGGAACAGCCCTTATAACCTTGTCTTAAAATTTACATACTTATGGATAATATTTGAAATTGTTAGACCTTTAATTTGTTTAAATTACCATAGCCCTGGGTTCTGATGTGTTATTTTCAAAGTTTATTAATTCTGATTTCGTATTTTAGACCAAATATTGGAATAAATCACTCAATTTTGCAATAATTTGATGAAACACAACTGTTTCATTTGAATTAAATGAAGTAAAGAATGCTGGTAAAACACTTAGAAATATTATCTATTTATGCCATTCAAATATAATCATTGGATTAGTACATAGTACACTACCAATGTGTAGAGTATAATAATGCATATGTTTTTAAAAAATGAAGGAGACATGGAATATTTGCCAATGAGACAATTATGCATTAAAGACCATGCTTTCTTTCAGACTAGTTGGGAGGGAAGATAAAATTGTACAGTTATTGAATATTTCACCAGTTAGTGTGGCTGTAGATGCCACTACATGGAACAACTACTTGGGTGGCATAATACAGTATCATTGTGAGACACAAATCAACCATGCAGTACAGATAGTAGGATATGATATCTCAGGTGAGTGATATAATACAGTATCATTGTGAGACATACATCAACCATGCAGTACAGATAGTAAGATATGATATCTCAGGTGAGTGATATATACAGATTATTACATGGCATTTTTCATATCAGACCCTTTATTGGCCCTAGGTCATGATATCAGCCCACGAGCCTGAGGCTCGAGGGATGATATCATGAACGAGGGCCGATAAAGGGTCTGATATGAAAAATGACATGTAATGATCTTTTTATCATATACTTCAGCAGAAGAAATACAGACAAGAACTATTAAAATTTTGTCTTTCTTTGAACTTTTAGATAATAATTTACAGACAACCAAATACAAATTTATTAACTTAAATTGTTTTTATTGATGTAACAAGCATTTCATTTATCATGTGACATATCACAACAATTATTATGTTCTTAGTTTGAAAAATTTATTTTCACGTCTGCCATGTTTACAAACAAATTTCCAGAAATGCACGAAGTTGCATGTGATAAACCCCACGGACAATAACGGAAAGGCATATGATAACATTCCGGAAGCAGTCAATAAAGGTTCGTTTATCAGCCCGCCGAGGAAATTCTTACGAATCTGGTTAATAAACATAATAACCCTTTCATAGCCTTTTACTAATTTTTTAATATTATTGAACTGTAAAATTTAAGTAATATTTTATACAAGTATATGATAAAATACAGTATCACTGTGAGACATATATCAACCATGCAGTACAGATAGTAGGATATGATACCTCAGGTGAGTAATATGATACAGTATCACTGTGAGACATATATCAACCATGCAGTATAGATAGTGGGATATGATATCTCAGGTGAGTGATATAATACAGTATCACTGTGAAACATATATCAACCATACAGTACAGATAGTAGGATATGACATCTCAGGTGAGTCATATAATAAAGTATCACTGTGAGACATATATCAACCATGCAGTACAGATAGTAGGATATGCTATCTCAGGTGAGTTGTATAATAAAGTATCACTGTAAGACATATATCAACCATGCAGACTGCAGTACAGATAGTGAGATATGATATCTCAATTTGAGTAACATAATACAGTATCACTGTGAGACATATATCAACCATGCAGTACAGATAGTAGGATATGGTATCTCATGTGAGTAATATAATACAGTATCACTGTGAGACATATATCAACCATGCAGGACAGATAGTAGGAAATGATATCTCATGTGAGTAATATAATACAGTATCACTGTGAGACATATATCAACCATACATTGCAGATAGTAGGATATGATATCTCAGGTGAGTGATATAATACATTATCCCCGGCTTAGTATATTTCTAGGATTTTGATTGGTTAACGCACGTCGTAACAAAACCCATAGCCCCTGGGTGTTGCTTACCCATATACCCGGATGTTGCTATCCATTACCCCGGGGGACGCCACGTGCGTTTTCCTTAGTTCAATGGTTGTTCCTTGTAAAATATAAAATTCTGTAGATTATCCATGATGTCTGTACGATTTTATCTTATGATGTCGATCATTTGCACTCATTTTAGTGAATGCATCACTTGGCTGCCACATTCATGATTGTCCATAAATAGAACTCCTGACCTAGCTATGCAAATGACCCACGTTGACGTCACACCGTCTATGATGTAACTCTCACAACATTGAGCGCCAAATTCGACCCCTTCCAGTTTCTCTCTCTCCGGATTAAAACGTCTTATATTCGACTACCTGTAGGGTTCTACCACCCCGTAAAAAATATGTTGAATTCAGGGTTCTACACCCCGTAAAAAATATGTTGAATTCCCAAATTTCAATATAAGATTTTAAAAAAATGAAAAAAACGTTGCTTCCACGTTACACTTTGTGGTCGAATTTCTCTAAAAATGGCCAGATTTGGACTAAGACCGGGGATAAATTCGTTATCTACGTTCATATCCGTAGATATGGATATTTTAACACCCTTCAGTACCCTGTACACCCTTCGGCTGCGCCTCAGGGTGTACTTGGATACTTCAGGGTGTTAAAATATCCATATCTATGGATATGAATGTAGATAACTTATAGTATCACTATGAGAAATATATCAACCATGCAGCACAGATAGTAGGATATGATATCTCTGGTGAGTGAAATAATACAGTATCATTGTGAGGCATATATCAACCATGTAGTACAGATATGATAGGGTAGGATATCTCAGGTGAATGATATAATATTGGGAAGAAGTCCCCATTAACAGTAAGAAAATCGAAAAAAACGAAAAAAATCAATATACTAATGAATTTCAAAGTCGTAGTTTTTTTTTAACAGTTGAGCATGCACAACCTTGATCCTGTTCTGCTAAGGGACGCTGCCATGTTGCAAGTCATACGATTTCCCACAAACTTGTATAACTGATTATCAAAAAGAATAATGAGGTCGAACATTTTGAATTTAATATGTTTGTGTATGTAATAAATTGAGTCTAGAGCTTATTCAACATACAAGTTTTTAGCAAACAAAATGACTTCTCAGGGGAAACTCACCTCAGATCAATCAGGCAGATTTTTGTATCTGTACAGCTTTGTATATATTTGTTGTTTTTAGGTATGATTTATTATTTTTTTAATTAAACAATATTTTAAAATAAGATAGCATTTCTTTGTTTACATTGAAAATGACGTCATATATCAAATTTCTAACTATAGGACCAACATCGCCATCGGATATATTTCTGTAACTCAGTTTCTTTTTCACCAGAAATTATGCAGTGAAATTTTTTTGCAATAAATGTTTATATATATAGATCTGCTGTAAACAGGATATGGTAAAGTATTCAAAAGGTTTGCTGACTTTGTCCCCTTTTAGAGGTAACACCTGCCTCATATACAGTATCACTGTGAGGAACATATCGATACAAGGATGTATCAATTTGAAAGAAGTATATTGACTGATCATAGGTTTATATCAGCAATGTCTCGGACAAGTTCGAAAATCAGTGTCCATGAACTATTTTTAAAAGAGTTATGCCCTTTGGAAATATTAAAAAAATTTCATTGTTAGCACTCTCATGTGTACAATTCTTGCCAGATTTTTATGAAACTTATATCATAGGTTTATATCAGCAATGTCTCAGACGAGTTCGAAAATTAGTGTGGTTCAACTATTTTTAAAAGAGTTATGCCCCTTGTAAATATTAATTATATGGAAAATTGCATTGTAAGGGCTCTAATGTGTACAATTTTTGCCAGATTTTTATCAAATTTAAATCAAAGGTTTATATAAGCAATGTCTCGAACAAGTTCGAAAATGATCAGTGCCTATCAAATATTATTAAAGGAGTTATGCCCCTTGGAAAAGATTAATTATATTGGAAATTGCATTCTATTTGCTCTCAAGCCTTCGTTTTTCTTAGATATTTGTAAAAAAGTTTATAAAGAACAAAAATAAAGTTTGCCCTTGGACAGATAAAATATGTGCAATGTGGGGGACATTGGAACTCTGTTCTTTTATTTTTTTTTTATATATTTTGATTTTAGGTGATGTACCATATTATATTGTAAGAAATTCATGGGGAACAGATTATGGTAATAAAGGCTATCTGTATATAAAGATTGGTGAAAATTTGTGTGGTAAGTTCTCTTTAAGTTATTAAATATTTTAAAATTTGATCGTTCTCTTATAGAAATACATGAGTATTTTATAAACTATATTGAGTAAAGTGGTATATGTTTAACAATATTATTAGCATTAATTGAAGGGTATTTTGCCTGTTAAAAAAATACAGGAATTCATGTTGTACATATTGAAGCATAATAAGAAGAGAGATTTCATATAATTTTGCCATTTAATCAAAAAGGATTGTAGTGTGCAAAAATAATTAGGGGAAATTCTGTTTAACCTTGACAATACACAGCATTTGCCTTTTGAGAAAAGGAAATTGTACATATTAAAAAAAGTTCACGACTAACTACATGTACCTAATGTTAAATACAGGATACATCAAATCTCAATTTGTCTTTTTATCTCCTTACAAACAGGTCAATTTCAAAAGGATTAAAAAGATTGTTTTTCTTTTTTAAAACAATGTTAAATAGAAGTATTTATATTTAAAAAAATTATAAAAATGTTGTAGGTATTGCTGAAGAAGTTACTACAGTGACTGTTCAGTGAGAAGATGTGAAATAAAAGGGAACATTGGTGCTACATATTTTTTTTCTTTTTTGCCAGAGCTCCTTAGCAGCTATAGTCATCTTTACCTTTCTCACTTTCCATATTCTATAAGAATTATGAAATAGATCAATCTGATCAAAATCCAATGTTATGATATGCAATTTTCCTTAGGGAACATTTTTGAGGTCTATGCCTCCATTTATTCATCTTTTCATCCCTCCTTTCATCAGTTTTTTTTTTATCATTTCTTCAGTTTATTCAATAATTTGTTTCTTTTCATTCCAAATTTTTAAATGTTATCACCTCTGTGGTTCACATGTATAACCATATATCATGTATTACAACAGCTGCAATTGGAGCATTTTTCCTTTTGTAATAGACTTATACATATATGCATGGAAAAACTTTCTAAGAATGGAGTTTTTGTCCAGTTTTGACAAGTTGATGACATTTTGAACTCTGTGATATATATGTAGTTTTTTTTTCTAATCAGATATATATATATATATATATATATATATATATATGAATAATTAATAATGTTAAATTAAATTGTTAAATATATATTTTTCTATAAAGTAATAAAATCTTATATCATGAATAATCTTCTTTTCTTTCTAGTAGTTACTATTATCAAGATTAGATGTAACAAAACAGCTTTATTCTGTAAGTGCCTTTTCCAAGTTAGGAGACTGATTGAAATTCACTGGTTGTTTGTTGCTGTATATTATATATTTTTTTTTATTATTTTGTACATAAATTAGGCCATTAGTTTTCTTGTTTGAATTGTTTTACATTTGTCTCTTCAGCCTTTTGTAGCTTGATATGCAGTATGGGTTTTGCTCATTGTTGAAGGTTGGACAGTGACCCATAGTTGCTAACTTCTACGTCATTTGGTCTCTGGTGGAGAGTTGTCTCATTGGCAATTATACCATATCTGCTTATTTTTATATAATATGGAATCTGAAACATCTTCCATTAAAGTATAAATTTGTTTTACCTTTATTGAATAAATAAACAATGAGTACAATACATGCAGATACTGAATGTTTGTATTAGATGAGTTTTTTATGCCTCCAGAGGAGAGCATACTATTTTGTTTGCCCATTTGCATATCTTCTTCTCATCTTGTAGAATATCTGTACTATAACATAGGTAAACATACTGTCAGAATTTGATTTCTTGAAAAAGAAGGAGGGCTACCTACTTCTTAATGTTTCACTCATGGATCAGAATAATAAGTTGATGAAATGATATTTCAACCATTAATTTAAATCAAAATGATATTCAGTGGTACACATTCGGGTTTTTGTTTCACATTTGATGAAGGTTGCAGGGATAGGAGACCTGGATGCTCCATACCTTGTATACAGTTGAGTTATGTTACAAAGTTTACGTTTATCATATGTCCTTTGTTCTTGACCTCATTTCCATGGTTCAGAAACTGCTTAAAAGAATTATAGATTTTTTTGTCATGTAAATTTTCACGGACTTATAAGGAGTAATAGGAAAACTATATTTTATATATGGGATCCTTACAAGGTCTTCATATCTGTCTGACAGGTTTCATTTGACCATGACCTTATTTTCATGGTTCATTTGTCAATGTTAATTTTTGTCTCACCTTGACGGAGTCAAAAAGCGAGACATAGGTATTCTGTTTCCGGCGTCGGCGGCGGCGACAGCGGCGTCAACAATGTATTAGTTTGTGATTATGTCTAGTTCATGGTGAACCACTAGTGGTAGGTCAATGATATTTGGTATGCAGTTGTATTAGCATTGGCACATCTCAATACCATGGAGATTATTTGGCCCCGCCCCCTCAGTCAAGGTCTATTGACTTTGAAACTTTTCATAGTTTACATGTATTAGTTTGTGATTAGGTCAAATTATGGGGAACCACTAATGTTAGGTCAATGGTATTTGGTATGCAGTTGTATAAGCATTGGCATATCTCATTTCCATGGAGATTATTTGGCTCCGCCCCCTTAGTCATGGTCTATAGACTTTGAAAATTTTGCTAAGTTTACATGTATTAGTTTGTGATTAGGTCAATTCAAGGGGAACCATTAGTGGTAGGCCAATGTTAATTGGTGTTCAGTTGTATAAGCATTAGCACATCTCATTTCCATGGAGAATATTTGGCCCTGCCGCCTCAGTCATGGTCTATTTACTTTGAAACTTTTGCTTAGTTTACATGTATTAGTTTGTGATTAGATCAGTTTAAGATGAACTGCTAATGTTAAGTCAATGATATTTGGTATGCAAATTTATTGGCATTTGCAAGTATCGTTTCCATGTAGATTATATAGCCCCACCCCTGATCATGGTTCATTGACTTTGAAACTTTTACATAGTTTACAAGTTAATGTTTGTGTTTTAGGTTTGTTTAAAGGGAACAACTTATAATAAGTCAATGGTATTTGGTATGCAGTTGTATTAGCATTGGCACATCTCATTCCATGGAGATTGTTTAGCCATGTACCTTCAGTCATGGTTCATCGACTTTGCATATTTTCATAACTTACATGTTAAAGTATTGCTATTTTAATTTCAACATTTGCATTATCAAAATTATAAAAAGGCGAGACATATCTCTGTGATAACAGTTTATTTTAGTTTTTGTCTGCTTTTAAGAAACTATATGCAAGAGGTCAACTATATTTGGTGTATAGAAAGATTGTAAGATGTAAATAACTGTTTGACAGGGTGCATCTGACTGTGACCTCATTTTCATGGTTCATTGGCCAATTTTCTTACCTCTCCTGGCCCAAAGGGCCAAGTGTGCTATACGCATCACTTGCTGTCTGTTGTTTGTCGTCTTTGTAGTTCCTTAATCTTAACAAAAATCCTCTCCTCTGAAACTACTGGTCCAATTGGAAACAAAATTGGCCACTCTCATCCTTGGTGTATCTTGTTTAAAAGCTGTTTCTGATGATCTAGCCTACAACCAACCAACCAACCAACCAACATGACCAACACGGCTAAAAATTTAACCTAAGGGTAAAGTGCAATTTCTGTTTTAATATTATCTTGAAAACAGCTAAATCAGACAAGGAAATGTTCAGAATGTTGAGATTTACCTACTGTCCATTTATATCAGATTAGACAACTTCTAATAAGAGTTATTGCCCTTAAATGTTGAATTTTACCTTTTTTTATTTTTGCCTCTTATTTCAACAACTATTTTAACAATTTTTTTTGTGTTTGTTTTTTTGACTATTATCTTGAAAACTATGATAGAAAGCATATCTAAATAGCGTTTAACATCAGCAAGATAAGATCTACAAATAAGTTAACAATGGTTTAAATCGTCAGTCCAATCTTCATAGGAGTTATTGTCCTTAAAAGATATTTATCACTCATTTCATTTTTCATTTTTGCTATACACTATACAAATCATAGATTATAGATAGAATATTTAAATGATAGATAGAATATTTAAAAAGTAATAAAGATCAGCAAGACAAGATCTACAAATAAGTCAACAAATGATCGAAATTGTCAGTCCACTCCTAACAGGAGTTATTGCCCTTAAAAAATATGTGTTCTCATTTTTTGTGTGTTTGCCTTTCATCTTAAAAACTGTAATAGATGAATAGAAATTTGAACACCCCAAAAAAATCAGAAAGACACGATGGACAAGTGAGTCAACATGGCTTAAATTGTTAGTTAACTCCTTATTGGAGTTATTGCCCTTTTATCCTTTTGTTACACGTTTTTGCCTATTATCTGGAAAAATGTTATAGATAGTTGAAAATTTCAAAAAGAAAAATGACCAGCAAGACAAGATCTGCAAATAGGTCAGAAAAGATGAAGTTGTCAAATGTCTTCTTATAGGAGTTATTGCCCTTAAATGATGCATTTTTTTACACCTTTTGTATTTTGGGCAAAAACTATAGAAGATGGAGAGAAAAATATAAGCAGTACAAGATCAGCAAAACAGATATTTTGATCATGATTTATATTCTATAAAAATAAGAAGATGTGGTATGAGTGCCAATGAGACAACACTGCATCCAAGTCACAATGTGTAAAAAGTTAACAATTATAGGTCAAAGTACAGTCTAGTCTACAATGTTGCAGAGCAGCCATCGTTGACAATGCACACACTCTTTAGAGTCTCTATTGTTGATTAGCTTTTTCCTTTTCTCAGATAATATAAGCAAAAGGTTTTTTTGGTGTATGGAAAGATTGCAAGCTGTACATGTCTGTCTGGCAGAGTTCATCTGACCTTGACCTAATTTTCATGGATCATTGGCCGATGTTATGTTTTCATTGTAAGGTCTGTTTCTCGGGTATTATAACCATTTGGTCTACTAAAATTTGGTATATGAAATGATTGTATTGTGTACATGTCTCTCTAGTAGGTTGTTTGATCTTAACCTCATTTTCATGGATCATTGGTCAATTTCATTCTTTCATGGTAATGTCTGTTTCTCAGATACTACATTCTTTATAAGCAATTATAGTTTAAAAATATGTAATGAACAGAATGATTGCAAGGTGAGCATTTTTTTGTGTGCATGTCTAGTTACTTGCAGATATCATATGACCTTGACCTTATTTTCATGGTTCATTGGTCAAAATTTAGTGTTCTTGGTTAGGTCTTTTTCTCATATACTTTAACCAATTTAGTGTATGGAATGATTGTAAGGCATACATGTCCATCGCCCAGGGTTCATCTGACCTTTCCCTCATTTACATTTATATACATGTATAAATCGTTGAATGATGATTTATATATATTTTTATCGAACGCAATCATAGGTATGAACGTTGTTTTCAATTTAGACTTGTTTATATTTTTTCGTTTGGGCTTGTATTATTTTTGCCTTCGGGTTTATATGATCCGTTCATCCTATTTCGACTCTTTCAAAATTCAAGAGTCTATCCTAAATTGAGGTAAATTATATGGTCTTCCAAATACCGTTTCAATTGCTAACATCACTGAATAGACATTAATTGTCGAAATCCGGATATGGTGAACAAATTTTTGCACCTCATGTTTGCGGTATACCATCTTTTCCGCAAGTTTATTGTTTTCTGTTTGGTAATAAATTATTATAAGATCCATTTTGTTACATCTGCTGATCCGTTTATTTGGCAATCGCCAATGGCAGTCAGCAGGGTTTAAGAACATCAGTTGTTCGACCTGATAGTCAAATGCGTTTTGTTAAAATATACTTTTTCACTTTTTTGGTCTTTTTGAAAATGTTGTTTGTGCTGTATTTAGACCCCTCTACCAAGAAATTTGTTTTGCATGCACACGTATAAAAATTGCGGTTTTTATCCAACGCAATCATAGGTTTGAACGTTGTTTTCAATTTAGACTTGTATATATATATATACATATATACGAATCATTGCGTTCTTTAAAAGACTCTGTGTTTGATACAAAATGTGCTCAACGCTTTCACAGCTTAATAAAATTACAAAAAAGAAGCATCCGATTCTTATATCTTACTGCGCATAACACTTGTTCCTGAAATACACTCAGGATCACAAATTAAGGAAGCAAATCCTGAAAGAGAATATTACCACCTCAACAGTCTTGAAACAAACTTGTCAATTTGTTTTTTACTTTTAATAAACTTCTTGGCACTTATATGGGATTGATTTTTTTAAATTTCGGTAAACACTTCTCGTAGTTTTTCCGCGAAGTCGCAGAATGCGAAACAAAGGGATTACAATCCGGCGGCGGCGTGAACTATTTGTTTAAAGCTTTATATTTCAGAAAGTACTTCGGAAGACCTGGATGCTTTTTACCTCGTATGCAGATGCCTTATGTTATGAAGTTTCCGTCTGGCATATGTCCAATGTCCTTGACCTCATTTCCCGGGTTCAAAGACTGCTTGAAAAATGATTGGTTTTTTTTTTGTCATGTGAATTTCTCACTTATTATGAGTAATATGATAACTATTCTTGATATAAGGGTTCCTTGCAAGGTCTACATGTCCGTCGGACAGGTTTCATCAGCTGATCTAGACTTCATTTCACATTCCTACCGAAGGTCGGTGGTTCTCTCCGGGCACTCCGGCTTCCTCCACCAATAAAAACTGACCGCCACGAAATAGCACAATAGTGTTAAAAGTGGCGTTAAACACCAATCAGTTAACCTACCAATCATTGCATAGATAAGCGATCAAGGTTACTTTTATGTGATAAAGTCCGTATCTCATATACTATAAGCAATAGGTCAACTATATTTGGCGTATGGAATGAATGTAACATGTACATGTTTAACTGCAGGTTTCATCTGACCTTGGCCTCATTTTCATGGTTCATTGGCAAATCTTACTTTTTTTCCGATTTGGTCTTTTTTTCAGATACTAACTTATAAGCAATAGGTCAACTATAGTTGGTGCATAAAATTAACTGTAACGTGTATATGTCTGTCTCGCAGGGTTCATCTGACCATGACCTCATTTTTATGGTTCATTAGTCAATGTAAAGTTTTCATGGTTATGTTTGTTTTTCGAATACTGTAAGCAATATGTCAACTATATTTGGAATGGTGTACATGTTGTCTGGCATGGTTCATCTTACCATGACCTCATTTCAATGGTTCAATGGTCAATGTTCAATTTTCGAATTAGGTCTGTTTCTCTGATACCATAAGCAACAGGTAAACTATATTTGGTGTATGGTATGATTGTAAGGTGTACATGTCGGTCTGTCAGGGTTCATCTGACCTTGACCTCATTTACATCGATCATTAATAATGAAAATTGTATTTGAAACTTATAGTAAAACCTTCATATAACACACTTTTAACATAAATTCAATCACGATAAGTAAAGCAGGCGAGACATTTCATTGTGAACACACTTGTTTACGTATTGTCCTAGGTATTTTTTTTTATTTTTACTTCAACCGCCTATGCGGTCTTAATTGTAGTATCGTACTCGTCTCTAGTGTGGAGGGTCGTGACTGAGCTCCGATTCCCGGCTTGCCAAAAAGTTTAAAATTTAAAATTAGTATTTGCTGTTTCGCCACCTAGCACGTGGCATTTAAGAGTATGAGCAATAAACGTGTTGACTCGGAAAAATAAAAATATATCCGAGTAGGGTGATATGTAATCCATTGCGAGCTATCACGTTAAATATAAGATTCAGGCTGTTGGTCTAGTATAATTAACATGTTATCGTCCTGAATGTGATCAATAAATCTTTAGGATTTCGGTTTTTCCTCTTCACTTGAACACAATAACTTACTTAATTTTAACCTTTTGTTTTATAAGAAAACGGTTGGTAATTACTTTTATGTATACTCTATAGAAGATGTCACATCGAATGTCTCTCTACTATTAGTCAATACTCTGGAATATAAGGTCCACTCATGGTGGAAAACATGTAACAGAAAGACTTGTCTTAGATGTACTATATTTATACCAATAAAGTATCAGAACAGAAACGATATTTTTGTTAATTTGGCGCATGCTATTCATCTCACCTGAAACAGAAGATGTAGTAATATATATATATAACAATTGGACAGCAAACCAAAAGACTTGTAGCATGAGACCCGGTCTTCAATGATCGAAAAGTCATTGCTTATTCCACATGTCAACATATATATATATCGCCCAGAGTCTAGATACGCCGTGGATGATTTAGACAGGAACTAATTTAAAAATAAGGAGATGTGGTATGATTGCCAATGAGACAACTATTCACTAGAGACCAAAGGACGTGGTTTTAAGTAACAGCTGTCAACAATGAGCAAAAAGCCACATCGTCTAGTACGTTTTAAAGGGTCTCGATCGACATGATAAGAGTAAACCAATTCAAAAGAGAAAACCAACGGCCTGGTCTATGCGAAAACAAGATTGTTGATTATATGCTTGGATTGTTTTTGTTGTTTTTTTTAAACTTAAACTGATGTCTAATCTTAAAATCCAAATGGAGAACAAATGGTGCAAACAAAAACAGCTATTATCACCAATAGCAGAAGTCCATTACAAGGGCTCTAGTAATGGACTTCTGCCAATAGTTATTATAGTTTCTAGTGATTCTCCACATGGATACGCTAGGGAGAAGTTGATGGATAACTGGCGAGGAAAAAGCAATGGAAAACACTTCTTGTGGTTAACATTAAACAACCATTATAGTTTGTTAAAACCATACTCATAAACAGATGCGGATCCCGGTTTTCGAAAGGGGCGGGGCACCCAAATTGACAACATTTGGAGTGGAACAGGTAAAAAGTCTGCATTAATCATAAATGTAGCTCCATAAGGGGGCGGTTACCCTGTCCCCCAACATCCACCTCTGATAAAAAATCGATTTGAAATTCTTTATACAGGTATAGAATTAAGGGTACATTATTTCATATTTCACCCTTGGCGAGAAGACATAATTATGTTTTACAAATAATATTTTTGCAGCGAAGAGTTAATAAATTTTGTTTCATAGATGCTTAGAAACATCCGTGACTTAAACAAATCAACCGGAATGAATACACGTAAGGCTTGTGGCATGTTTTGGAATGGAAGCCTGGTATACCACTGGAATTAATGAAATAGGCATGAAAAAAAGACAATTGTTGTCTTGCTTGTTTGGAGAAAATAAATAGACTTGATAACGGGGTTTAATAATCACATTTGAAACAAGAAGCTAAACAGTCATGCTATGTGCGACCATTATAATCTTGCGTAAATTGAAAATAAAAATAAAAATATTATCGTCGTCAACTTTATAATTACTAGATATTAAGGTGACTAATAAATGGATCCAAAAATATTAAATTGCGTACATGTCTATTAAACTAAAGACCCAAATGATGAATGCAAGTCATAAATTATAACATTTGTCTTATCGTAAGCAACCAAAAATCGGTTCAAAGTCTCATTAAATGCTACAGCTTTCGGTGAGATAAGCACATTTATTATCTTCCGGCTTTGTTTACCGTCCGTTCCAGAAATCTGCCAGATATTGTTTGAATCAATGCCAGCTACATAAATATTTCCTTCAAAATCAGTTGCTAAACCCTCTGCTCGTTCTAGTGCCGGGTCTTCAAAAGTGAAAATCTGGTTCCCTGTTTTATCAATGCAAATTAAGGAAGACTTGTGTGTGTAGTAAATTCTGTCTTCATGACAGGTCAGGTACCCTTCGAAATCGGTCTGAACACGTATAGTACGCATGACTATGCCATTCAAGTTCATTATTATGATGCTTTCACTGCAGCGGATGATTAAATCTTTGATTTGGTATGTGATTCCAAAGCAACATTCGTTAACGGGGAGAGATTTAATTGTCTTCATTTCTATCATGTCCACTAGATCAACGGATTTTGCATCTGGAAAAGTGACGGCCACAACATTCTCATTAACAGCAGTAATATCGAAAGGTTTTTCTTTGAAGTCGAGCACATCTTGACATTCCGCGGCACATGTAAAAATGTATAGTTTCTGTTCATTTCTGTCTATCAAGAGAACTTTACCTTTGCTATTGAACACTCCCCCAGATATAAAGGTGTCTCCACTTTGAACATTAAAGTCGTTTCTTGACCTTGCCTCGTATGGAACCATCTTCTTTTCGCTCTTAGACTGTTCCGTTTCCTTCTTTGTATTTTCTGTATCTTCGACTTTCAGTCCACCAATTGGTCTCTTTCGCGGTTTTGGACTAGCTGATGGACTCCGTTTTGTCTGAATTCCTTCTATGTTTAATTTATTTCCATGGTTATCGGTATATTCATCTGTGTTTTTCAAACCAATGTTGTCCTTGTCGGGAGCCGTTTGGTTTGTTTTCAGACGATTCTGTAGTTCACCTAAAAATGCGACCGACATACCAGGCATCATACCTTTTGGTATTGGTGGTCGTTTTTCTCCTACAGGAGGAGGCTCTGGTTTTTGTATTTCTCCCGATGGAATCACTAACGTTTGATTTTCTCCAGGAGGAGTCACTGGTAGTCGCTTTCCTTCTCTACTTGGCACTTGTGGTAGTTTTACTCCTATCATTTGAACTTGGCGTTTCCCCCCACTTGCAGCCTTAAGTGCTTGTTTTTCATCACTGTCTAGATTTCCTTCTGTTTCTGGGGTCAATGGTATTGTCTGTTCGTCCAGTATTTCAAAATACTTCACTTGGATCTCCTCAGGCTCGTTATTTGTATTGTTATCGTTGTTTCTTTCTTTCTCGATTCCAGATTTTTCTTTAATTTCATTTTGCTCTTTTTGCTTTTCTTTACTCATCAATTGAAAACTTGTTTCATATGGATTTTCTTCTTTATCTTTTAATGTTTCTTTGTATCCCTGATATATAATTTCGAAATTTTGCTCGTATGGACTTGATTTTCTCCTTTTGGGCGTTATCTCATGTGCCGCTTTTCTGACCGTCCCCGCATATACTGGGTCGTTCATTGGGTCATTTTTAAAGATTTTGTCTTTCGTTGACTGTTCGACGTCAAACTTTCCGTTCTTTTTATGAAACCTTAACTTTTCTTTTGCTTTATCAAAAAAATTCTTTTTATTTGCGTTTTTATTTTTCTCCATCTCTTTCTTTTTGCCGGCATTAGTCTCATTTGCTTTCAATTGTGATTCGGGTCTATAAACCTCAAATTCAATGCTTTGAACATTTAAACTCGATACATCACTGTCGTTCACAGTGCTATCTGAAGTTTTTGTTCTGTCTACAAAGGCAAATTCCTTCTTTGTAGTTATACCCTTGTTTTGCTTTGCAGGAGAATTCATTGGTATATACGTGGGATCAAGAAAGGGACTGTCATAGTCTATCTGATCATAGTCAGGGTCCTCCGATACTTCATCGTTCATTGCAGCCTGAAGACTTTTCCTTCGTGTTCGTGACCCACGTCCTTCAGAATGGTTCGGTTTGTTTATACTTGAATTGTCATCTTCTTTAATTATTGAGGGAATATCTGGCGTTGAAAAGTAGAAACTTTTGGTGTTGGATAGGGAGTTACTAGCAGGCTCCTTCTTGCGCAGATAGCTCGATATTAGTGCATTTAGTTTTTCCTTTTCTGGGTCCAAAGGGTCAGTCTTTTTCTTTACTGTTTCCGTTCTTTTATGTCTCGTTTTGATAACACCATTTGAATCATTCGATTGTTGTTGCTGTGATTTGTTGTTTTTGTTTGTATCTTCAGCTCTGTTTTGTTCGCCGTTTTTGTTAACCTTTGCATACTGTTCGTCTTCCCCAAATACCTCGTCGTCATCTGCATAGCTATAGATGTGTTCACGTTTTTTTTTCTCAAAGTCCACACTTGTAATATGTTTATCGACAAAGAGTTTCAGTTTTCTCTCAATTTCTGCAATATTATCAATTGCTTTAACAGACTGTCCTCTTCGGGGAGGAGGAGGGCCTTTCTTTTTTTCGCGCCTGACGCTTTTTCTATCCGACCTTGGAGATTCCTCGCCAGTTTTATTCTTTCGGTGCTTTGCTTTTGGTTTATCGTTCGGTTCCTTTCGTCTTGCAGGCTTTGGTGACACTACAGGAGAAATACGTTCGTGTACACTCATTTCACTATTTGCACCAGTTGGCATTGGTGGTCTTTTTTCGTCATTATTTGTCACCGGTATATTTAAAGAGATTTCACTGCCATTTCTTAGCTTCTTTTTATCAGAGACGAGATGACCAAATGACCGGATTTCCTTTGGAATACCTTGCAAATGTTCATCAAATTTAATGTAAATGATCTCTGGCTCCTTGTCGTTTCCTTTTTCTGTTTTGGCTAACAATATACGAATTCGCTTCATACTTGTCAGTAGTTGTACTGATGTACCGCTTTTAATCAGTTTTTGTAAATACATCTTACAAAAACGAATAGGGGAGTTTTCTTTGTGTTTTTCGTTCTCAGTTGTTTCCATAAACATTGAAATCTCGTCTCGCAATTGTTTTTCTATCTTATTCAGATGCTTGTCAATTTTGGCTCGTATTTTAGTAATCTCGTCGTTCAACGCTATGCATTTAACCACATCAAGCTGTTTCGATTTTTCCTCCTCTGATCTTCTATCAAGTTCTTGGAGAAGTTCAGAAGGTTCTTGTGCATTCTGGGTTTCTCTGACCCATTTTTCGATTGGAATTACGTCATCGCAGTGTCGGTGCTTATGTACCTCACATCGTACACAGCACGGTTCGTCATGTGAATAACAGTAAGTTTCGATCTTTTCTTCTGGGTGAATTTCACACAGTTCAAAAGCCTTTGATATTATCTCTGGGTGTTCTTTCAGTTCCTCCACACTGTGCAGTTTATGACTGGCAAGATTCTTCACCTAAAAAACAAAAAGAATATTATTTACTGTAGATCATTTTAAAGTCTCCTTGCATTAAAACATGGTATTTTTATATGTTTCACACAGCTTATAATTTTTAAGAGTATAAAAATATTGACATTTGAACGTATCCTTGAAGGACGAATGGAAGAGGATGGATACATGACATGAAGATACAATTATAGATTAAGGACATTAGATGTTATAAGGTCCACGGGAAGACATTTAATCATACCTAGGCACCTTATTCTAACCCCAGGCCGACCATTCTTTATTACTAAATGATAGGTGCATGCGGAATATTACCAAATACTTTGAGTTTAAACTAAACAACGGGAGACAGAACTTATCCCACACTCCCGGGTCAAGCACAAGACAACAGAGGTTGCTGATGTTCTGAAGGTACATGTTTTTTCCGATGTTATTTTGTAAACACGACTGTATAGTTATGTGTGTATTGATATCCATATAGAGGAACTGCCATTGATGAAGTCATGTTTTACATTTTATCATATCGGGGTCTTTTATAGCTTGCTATACGGTATGGGATTTGCTCATGTTATATAGGAAAGACATATAGTTGCTTATATATATATATATACATCTACGTCAATTGGTCCCTCGTGTATAGCCAATAGTCTCATTGGTAATCATACTACATCTTATTTTTATTTGACAGCATAACATAAGAATAGGGATTTAGGGGACAATAAACAACCAGTGGCGGATCCAGAAATTTTCATAAGTGGGGCCCACTGACTGCCTAAGAGGGGGCCCGCTCCAGTCATGCTTAAGTGATTCCCTAAATAATAAACAAAATTTTCCCACAAAAGGGGGGCCGGGAGTCCTCCCCCCCTTAATCCGCCTCTGACAACAATTTCATTCAAAACGCCAGATTTTTCTTGGAGTTCGTACATAATTTTTATGATCTCTCGATCAACACTTCACGTTTGACCTGCTTCTCTTTGAGGACCTCTGGCCGATACAAATATGTTAAGCGCCTTTTAGGTTTTATAATATAAGAAAGCAAAAGATAATTACCTTTTTATGAAAATTAGCACACGTGCTACAAAGCAGTCCGCTACATTGCTGACACCAGTGGGTGGCGGACACTTTAACGCCATCAGAATCAAAACATGGCCTACAGAAATTTTCTGTTTCGTTAGTTACGGTAACTTTTTCTCGCTCAACTAAACTTGATATAAAATTGTTTCTTGGCATTTGCTCTTTCCATGTCTTAGGGTCAAACTTGTCTTCAACACTGACATCTGTAAACAGTTTACATATTTTACATTCAATTCCATTATCATTTGGTTTTACAGTTTTTGCAATCCAGTCTTCAAGACAATTTTCGCAAAATGAATGAAGACAAGTTAAATATCGCGGATTCTCAAGCCAATTATTGCAAATTCCACAATGAAGAATATCAATATCGCCTTCGACTTCCATTACAAATAAAACTATACCATGTAAATAATGGAAAGTGTGCATAAAAACAAGGGATTAGAGAACAAGACAAACAAATAGGATACGATTCATACAGATTAAAGTCACATCCTTCAATTATTAAGATATGTCCTGGTTAAATTCTTTAATGCGGTGATCTTAATAAGTATTTTGATATTGTTGCTCGACTATTTAAAAATTTTACTTAAGAAGGTTCATCAATATCATATTTGAATTTTCCACTTGACGACGTATCAACGTATGTTCCAATCTGTAAACAATCCAATAATCATAGAAAAACTTGAATATGAAAGGGAGGAAGTCATTAAGGTTCCCATTTGGCACCCAAAATATGATTCGGCATAATTAGTAAACAGTGCAATTTTAGTTGTAAAAATACTTATTTTTCTTTACACTACTACATCGAAACTGTTAAATGAAGTCAAAAAATGAATATTTGCCATGGTTTCAAAATATATAAAAATCTCATTAATATTTGTACACTAATATACTTTTCGTATAAATAGGGAAGGATATTATGCTCTTTACAAATTAAAATACCCTTTCAACATCTATTTCAGCTAGGGGCCCACAGTTGTCCTAATTTATGGCGTAATTTCTCTAGCCAACATGTCGATATTCTTCAGTGCCAGTCCAAATTTTCCGCCCTTTTCATCATGGCCTTGTCAAACTATCTATATCTACTATACGTATTTGTAATTTGTTAACTGAATATTTACGAAATAATAGCCACTGGAAGTGAAGCAAAAAGCAAATAATCAATACATCTTAACAGTATCACAATTTATGCACAGGTTTTATAAACAATAAAGGCAGCAAAGGGATAATAAAAAGTCGAAGAAAAACTGAAAAAAACCATGACAAAACAAATAAAAAAAAATGACTTAAAGAAAAACAACAGTCCACAAAACACTACATAGTTAATAAAAGGCTGTACAAAAACAAACCTAATAACAACCGGGAATATATCAGCTGCTCCACTGAGCCGGGAAGGTTAATTATATCAGAGACATATATACACATATATATGTCTCTGATTATATATAAGCATATCCTGTCCCAAATGTGGCACTCGTCGTGTTGTTCATGGCAAGTACAAATTCGGTGATATAGAGGATGGAATTATATATATGATCAGATAAATATGTGATTGAAGTTTTTTTTTAAATGACACAATATTGTTGTGTACTGTATTCTCTGAAATGTTTGGCAAAAGAATCTGTCCTCAAAGTATTAGTGTATGTAGTTGTATGTACGCCTCTCTTCTCTCATTGGACAGCAGTCTATAAAACATTAATCCAAAGAAAATTAAGAGGATATGGTTAACGTACTTCGTGTTAATTTATTTTGTAACTTTATTTTTAGTTTGGCATGCACAAAGGTCGCCAATTCAGTTCTGCATTTGTGATAATTAATTTACTATAAATTCAGTTATCTTCCTAGACTTAGCCCCATTCTATTAATAAAGTGTTGAACAAAATAAACCAAACGTAACATAATCATCAATGGCGGATTCAGGTGGTCCAGGCGTAAATTAAGGGCGTCAAAATATTTTTTTTTATAAAAAAAATGTCGAAATAATTTCGTCTTTTTTTGTTCGCCGTTCTTATTTTACTTTAAGGAACACAACCTATATAGAGCGATATTAGTTAATCTAACCCTTAAACTCCACGGTAACCCTTACTTAGATCAGAGACATATATACACATATATGTGTATATATGTCTCTGCTTAGATCAACTTCGTACTTTATTTGGCCTTTTAAACTTTTTTGATTGAGCTTCGCTGGTGAGTCTTTTGATGACGAGACACGCGTGTACAAAATTTGTATCGTGGTATCTATGATGAGTTTATTATCAAATTACAAATCCTTGGTCTCGTAAACAGTAGGCGACCGATTCCTATACGGATATTCTTCGTGACTATTCCTGAAAATAGAACAATTTTACCTGCGAAATTCCACTTCCTGTTATTATGAGAAGTGACGCGGGAACGAATCCCTCAATAGTTTTTTAGCAATTGAGTGTATTTCTTATCTTCAAATGGATATCGTACTATGTCCATAAGAGGCATAAAGTTCATCTATTCTGTAGGAGAACCAGTCCTCTGCTTTGAACCAGATCCGACAAAGGCCCGAGTACTTTATGATGCAAAGGTTCTTAACTTAACAAAACCTATTTTTAAACATTGTTTACACCTTATACTTTCATTTCCCTATGTCAAAAATTTCTTTCAAAAAAATAACGTTGAAATAAAGGTATACATAATTTGTATAAATGAACATGTACATGGTAATTTTCGTTCAATATGTTGCTCATTTAATAATAATTGAATGCGGCTGTGTTTTAGGTTTGTATGTATTAGAGCTACAAGTAGAATCCGGGTCCGTTCGCGCCCAATCACGTTCGCCCCCATGCACGTTCGCCCCCTTTCACTTTCGCACCCTACACGTTCGCACCCGAAGTCCGTTCGCGCCCATTTTTTATTGGTTTTGTTTTTAATAATTTGTAAACGAGTTTTGGTAAGTGTATTGCTATAAATATATATTTTTTCATTGTTTCTAAATAAAGTGAGATTCTGACAAGGTTTTTTTTGTGTCATGGTAAATATATTGCTATAAACATTTAAATATAAAAATTATCAGGTTTTTGAATAAAAAAAAGGGTGCGAACGTGTAGGTGCGAACGGACCTAGGGGGGCGAACGTGTAGGGTGCGAACGTGTATTGGGCGCGAACGGACCCGATACCTACAAGTATAGGTTGGTTTTAGTATATTAGTATTGAGAATCAACAACAGGGCTTTGTAGGGAGGTGCTGAAATGATCAGAAATTTTCAATGTATGTGTAACCTAAATCAATGAAATATATGTAAGAAAGATTGAAAATATGTAAGTAAGAAAGTCAATTTTATTTAGAGTTGTCACATATTTACAAACAACAATAAATATGAGCTTAAGAAAGCTCTTGCAATCGACTCTAACATATAAAAAGCATCACAGTACAATAAGGTTTCAAGTAAGAAGGGAACACAAAAGCATTAATATGTTAGCACATATAATTTTAAATAAGATAAACACACATAAGCTTCATATTAAGTTAAAACAAAATGTGTGTTTCTCCATCACCAATTATAGCCTATGAAAGGTAACACATTTACAAGAAAAAATATATTACAGAATCTACATTACTACAATCCTCAACAGTCTATTTACTAATTGGAATCTGTTATTACATACATTATGTACTTAACACAACTTGTTTCCCTTTGTCAATTATTGACTGGTTCTGAACCAGACAAAATGGAGAGCTGCCTATGGCCCCATGTGTAATGAATGATAAGTTAAATGAGATTTCAGAGCTGTACTCTCGTATTCAGTGTCCTTGCCAGACAAAATATAGAGGTTCATCACTCCCACCTTCTTCAGACTGTGCCCTTCTGCCCTTACAAGTAACACTTTAAAAAAATCTTGCAATTGTTTCCCTATCCATTGCCCCAATGTCCACAAGTTATTTTGACCAACTATGTCAAATGGCTTTACACATTTTTAATAATCCTTTGTGTATTCTAAATTAATTAGGCTTGATTGCTTGTGATCACTTTTAATGTTTTGAAACACAGTTAATTTGAATTTAGCTTAAACTTTTTCATTATTTTGTTTGAAATCCCCATTCGTGATAAAAGAATTACGTTTTATGATTTTGAAAGTGACTTATAGACCCAATGAGTTGGGTGTATTTTATTGTTTTTGTAATATATTTGTATTTTGTTAACTTCTTATCTACCACAGGTACCTTAACAGTTCACTACTACACACTGCTGATTAGTTACATGTAGCTACTGCAGCTGAATTGTAGGTTAACTACAAGAGATAATTTGCAGTGAGAGAATTTTTCACAAATTGTTAAGGCTGTGTTATGAGTACTCTAGTTAAATGTTTAATTAATCAGTATTTATTGTATATTAATTGAAAAATGAAACAAATACCAAATCAATTTCTTTCTTTTCATTATCAAGCTTGAAAGCTGCCGTAAACGGACGTTGAATTATTTTGTCCATGTTTGGCTTCTTCATTCTCGGAAGACTCGCAATCTTGTTCCGACAAACTAAATTATCCCTTCCTATACTTCCAATTTTGCTCTCTAATTGCATAAATCCTTTAAATTCTTTCTTTTCGCTATACTATTTGAACAAAGAAGCCCATTCATCTGCCATTGTTTTAATCGCATTCCGAACACTTGTAAAATTCATCATAATTAAATGTAAACACACACTTTTTATAGAAACGGAATGTACTATTTTGAAAGATTATTCATTCGTAAAACCGAATTTTATTGGTTCATTATGGGATTCCCCAACAGTTTTGTCTAAAGGGTTTTAACAGTGGTATATTTTACGGAAATATCTGTCACCAGGACTGCGCAAGTGTTAACAGCGGATCTATCAGTCACTGCGAATACACGCTTGATTATGCAAGCGGATTTATCAGTCACTGCGGACAGAACGATGATAAAAACCACGTATATATCCGTCAGTGGTAGATAAAGAGTTAAACTGTTATTACACCTGTCACTATAATAGAAATTAACTTACTTACTTACATAATAAATTGTACAAATTATCATGATGATTGCATAATTATAAAAATGACAGCTAATAAGATCAGGAAGTCCTCACCGATTCATTCACTTCATTGCATGATGGATCATCAGTGATTGGAATAATTTTCAAAAGCTTTGATTTACAAATTGTATTTAAACAAGAAGAAACTTTTGAATATGGGTAAAGTAAAATATGACAGTCAATAAAGTGGTTATAAAGGAACAAATCTTGGAAAAATGTTGGTCTTCTTCTTTTAATGTGGAGGTATTTCCCCTTAAAATGGGTTTTCTTTAAAATTCGTTTTTACTGATAATTGAAAAGATGCACCAAAATTTTTTCATTTAACTTCTCAAGATAATCTTTTGAATGAATTTAAGGCTGCGTTTGAAGTTTTAAAAATTTTAACTTCGATTAAAAAACAAATTATCAATTATGATCATTTATAAATTTATTTATTATTATACTTTTAGTCTATTTTTTTTAAATATTCATTTTTTTCATTATTTTTGTCTCTCAAATTATATAAAATACCATAAGGTAAAAATAAATTATTCAAATGCTCAAAAAGGTGTAACCCAGGTTTCATTGTGCGAGACTCCATGGGTAGTCAACGTCAAGAAACACCCCACCTAGTAGTAGCAGTATGTTTGAAATTTTACTTTTACTGTTGAATATAAATAAACTTGATCTGTCTGGTTAAAATAATTAAGTTGATGTGTTATAATTAGATACCTTAAACATAATATCCAATTATACTTCTGTCAAATTTAGAAAATGAAGCTGCTGTATAGAATTATAGACACCCAATCTACATGTAGCTTACTGTAATCCTAGACATCTATTCATGAATACAATGTATCTGGCTTAATGACTGTATCTGGACTATAATTAATCTTTGAAAAAAGGCTAAGAAGCATGTGAAAAGATTTTTATGCCGCTGTAGCGGAGAGGGGGCATTAATAATACGTCCGTACGTCCTGAAATTTTGTTTGTTTTCAAACTTAAGTTTGCCTCAACCAAATGTTATGAAACTTATACACAATGCTTATTACCACAAAACACAGATCAAGTTTTAATTTGGGTGGCGTCACTTTTATTTTTCTAGAGTTATGCAGGGCTTCGTAATTCCCATTTCCCGTTTCCTGTGGAAAGTAAAAAAAATCGTCGGGTAAACGAAAAGGCAGGTACCAGTTTCCTGTCGGGTAACTAAATCGTCTTTATGTGGTACTTTCCGGTGCGTCGTATTCTTGTTTGACAAAGTCGGTTATTGGACAAAATCTAGTTTAGAAACTGGTTCCCTGAAGTAATCACTTGTTTCCTTGCGTTTACAGCGTTAGTTAGTTATTATCAGTAAACAGTAACGGTGGTCATGAAGCCATGAGTTTGCATAAATATCTGATCTCTGCCGATTCATCAAAGAAACTGAAATTATTAGACTTAAACAGTAATGTAATCAAACCGTCTGTATGACCATGAAAATTGGGTTCGTCAGTTTCAGGGAAAATGGTTGGACGAAAAAATAAGACTGGAAAAGTGAAAACTGATGCGGGAAAGTAAAATTGTAAGATAACTTTCCCATGGGTAATTGCATTTTCAAAAAAATTCAGAAGCCCTGGTTATCATGGTTATGGTCCTTTACAAATGGAGTTCTTGAGTTATGTCCCTTCATAACGTTATATGCAATCTGGGGCATTATCTGTGTCCCATGGACACATTCCCCATTTATTTTTATTTATATATGGCAAAGGAAACCTCACATATCTCTGTAAGAAATAAGTTAGTTTAGTACAGAATAAACTATGATATTAAAAGGGGCTATTTATATTTGTCAATATATAATAATAAAAGAAAAATCTGTTGTAAAAATGATAGCCACGCAAAAGTGTCCTTTTTATGGGACTGTCCAACTGCCCTCAGTTTCTAGCTGGAGCACTGTGTATGAATTGTCCATATTTTAATGCAAATTCACAGAGAAGATAAGCACACAGAAGTTCCAAAAAGAAGACCAACTACATGCAGAAGTGCAAAGAAACTTCTTTTCTTTATGGCCATGTGTAATGTTTTAAAATAGATGATGTGGTCAAGTGCACACAATATAAAAATAGATATATATATATATGTAACACTCTCAAACATGTTCAAATTCACATCCCCCAAACGTTTTCGATAATTTTTAGTCGCCAAAACATGTCCACTTTAAAACGCCAGAACTTCTTAAAAGTTTTAGTGCTAATATGTCCCCAGCAACGTCAATAACGTTTACGGTAATTCACTAAAGAGACTTAAACAAGAGAAATAACTTTGCATGTATCATAAGCATCCCTGATTATAATTTATATTTAAAAAAAACATGTTTTACTTAAAGGTAAAGTTAAAATAAGTTAAAACCAGTATGCGTAACTTAGAAGATGTGAATTTAAGTCATTTTAAATGTGCATCATCTTTTTAACTGTCGCATTACATTAAATTTATTGTAAGAGTTCATAATCAACTAACAGAAAATAATAGATTAACTGATTGTTGCTTGCATAACATTTTGTGGCAATTATTTCATGCATATATAGGAAAAAAGATTAATTGATTGATGGATGCTAAATGTCCAGTGGCAAATATTTCATGCATTTTTGGACAACATAATAACAATAAATTCAAAAGGTAGGACACATTTGGTGGTTTTTTATACGACCGCAAAAAATTTGCGTTCGTATATTGCTATCACGTCTGCGTAATCGTCGTCCTAAGACATTTGGTTTCCGGACAATAACTTTATTTCAAGTGTATGGATCTCTATGAAATTTAACTAATAGGTTCAATACCACAAAAGAAAGGTTGGGATTGTTTTTGGGAGTGATGGTCCCAACCTTAAAGGAATTAGGGGCCAAAAAGGGGCCAATAAACAAGTATTTTTCTAGTTTTGGGATAATAACTTGTGTACAAGTATTGTGATTGCTCTGAAATTGTACCACAAGGTCCAATACCACAAGTAGAAGGTTGGGATACATTTTGGGGGTAATTGCCCAAACCGTTCAGGAATTAGGGGCCAAAACAAGCATTTTTCTAGTTTTCAGATAATAACTTGTGTTTAAGTGTACGGATGTCTCTTAAATTGTAAATTATCAATTTTATTCTTCAAATATTTTTTTTTTACCTCAAGATTTAAGAAATTATCTATTTTCCCCAAAATTAATTGGGGGGCACAATTTATTTTGCTAATTCTCTATATATTTATATAGTCTGAAAACATATTTACTAAGTATTGCGCAACCGCACAGTGTATTGCACAACAGCAAGAAATCTTCAATTGAATATAAATTCAAATCATATAACCAATTTCAAGTTCTTTGACTACATTTATTCTGTGTCAGAAACCTATAATGTGTCAAATATTTCAATTTACAATCCAAATTCAGACCTGTATCAAGCTTAAGCTTGAATATTGTGTCCATTTTTGCCCTAACTGTTCAGGGTTGGACCTCTGCAGGTGGTATCCATCTGCTCTCGGCAAAGCACATTTTTAAAATATAGGTACCATTGAGGGTTTACAAAAAAGAGATGTTTATGCTTCGAATGGGCACATTTGGGCATTTTTAATAAAATGGACACGACTGGACGTTCATAAAAAGGACACACCCTTTAGCATCTAGATATGTTTTTGCAGTTCAGTGACGTCATATGGACACGTAAAAGGAATTAGACACCTTTGGGGGATGGACACATTTCTGGGTGTTACATATATATACAAATTTCTTTCTTGGAAAGAATTTGTGAGTAATTTGAACTTAAAAATAATTGCATTGTGTTTCTTACTATCTAAGTATTTCAAGCAGACTTTGCCAGATGGGGCTTGGATTAATTGTATATTTTCATTTCCAGATATTAGACACAGAAGTTACACACAATAAACATGGCCAGAGAATTCCTGCATATCACATCCATTTTCAGGGTTGGAATAACAGGTTAGAATAACATCCCATAATACTAAATATAAGTTTTCATTTGTCAAAATTATCATCAAATGATCAACTAACATTTATATTATATATATACCAAAGCAGGGAGAACCAGAGAACTTAAACTGAAATGAAATTGCACCTATTTAGATCAGTGAAGCTTCCTAGGACCAAAAATTTATAAAGAGCATGCCAAGTCCTGCACTTTCACACTGCAGTGTTCAAAATTCCTAATAAAAGTGTGTGGAGTTTGTGTTAATTTGTAAAGAGATGATGAGTAGCGTGAATAAATCAAATATTACTGAGAGTCTTTTACAAATATAAATTATTCTATATAAGGTAAGATACACTTCATGTCTTATAGGAGCATTAGCTGCAAAATTTATTACCCTCAAATAGACTCTTTGATTGACAATAATCTAAAGTGTTAACCAGAATAACATTAGTTCCTTTAAACTGAACATGCCGAGTACATGTGCAACCCATAATCAACTAAGAGTCAAACTATAGGTTTGCATGCATACAGACCCAAATGAGGTTGAATTATTGTTTGCAAGACAATATTATATCAAAATTTGAGTTTATTTCTACAAAATTGAATCAAAGGGGCTGGAAAGTGAATTATTAATAATAATTATTCTGCTTTTATTTATGTTTGAAACTTAAATAATCATACATGTACTTATAATTTTTATCTAAATAGTTGTGAATGCCCTTTTAAGGTGGGTAATTGAGCTTTTGTTGTAGAAACAAGCATTTAATTTAATATTTGTTAAGATATTAATGTTAAGTTAAAAAAGCAAAGAAAAGCCATTTCAATTTGTTTTTATCAATAATATGTATAAATTGTTAATCCTCATGGCTCTACAAATTACTGTTTAATGGATCAGGGATGGTTAATGCTCGCTCACACACACACACACCTTTGTAACAAAAATAACTCTTTCCTATATTACCAAGGTATTCATGAATATTCAGAACCTTTCATTAAAATATGTTTTGACTGGTGTATTACAGCTGGGACAGAGTAGTTGCAGAAAATTCTATATTGGAAAACACAGAAGAAAACAGAATACTTATGAAGCAGTTGTCCGATGCTACTAGAAGGTTGTAAGTATTTTAAAGTACTTGTATCATGGCCTCTAAAACAGGAGATCAATGATATTTTGTATGAAGTCGCATTACTATCAGTACATATCTGTTTGGCGACTATTTTAAGGCCCTGCCCCTTAGGACATGGCCCAGTGACTTTGAATTTATTAGCAATTTTCAATGTTAAGTTTTCTGCTTACGTTAATTTGATAGGATCTACTTGTGATAGATCAATGATATTTTGTATGAAGTTGCATTACTATCAGTTCATATCAGTTGGAAGACTATTTCAAGGCCACGCCCCCTAGGTCATGGTCCAGCCAATTTCAATTAATAAGCAATTTTTAATGTTAAGTTTTCTGCTTAAGTCAGTTTAACAGGAACTACTTGTGACAGATCAATGATATTTTCTAAAAATACTATCAGTACATATCATTTTGAGGCCCTGCCTACTAGATCATGGTCCAGCGACTTTGAATTAATAAGCAATGTTGCTGTCCATCAGATTGTCTTTTTTCTGAAATTTATGCAGACAGGCGAGCCATAAATCAGTGTCAACTGTTTATTTTTGGTTGCTTTAATGTCTCCTTTGCACATGAGTAAGCTTTTGATTTATGTTGCAAATGTTTCAATTGCTGTTTGGTATTATTTTTTAACTACAACAAAACTGCAATTGGCAACATTAATGAAGCCCAGCAAGATCCACAGTTTTGTATCCCTTACCTTCTTAAAAACCTAGAATTAAAAACTTTATTTAGGTTAACAAAGGAAAGGATGACCGTGTTTTTATCACAACTTTTAAATTTTTCAGTAGTTCAAATAAGAGCAGAAATAAACATATAGATGCCATTTTGAGACGAACATTTAAGGGGAGATCACCCTTGGCAGAAAGTGATGATGATCACCAGAATGTATCAGATGATGAGGATGATGACTTGGAAGAGGAAAGTGGAGATGAAGAGGAAGAAAATGGTAGAATAGAGGATGATGGGATAGAAAATGGTGTACAGAACGGTGAACATGATGAGGATGACAGTCAGGTTTGCCACTTACATTTTAAACATATATAAGTGTAAAAGCCTGGTTGGTTAAAAGTTAGAATGATGTGTCTTAGAAGTGTGATAGGTCTTCTTGTTGATTAGCATATTAAATATCTGATTCTGGATCTCTGTCAAGTACAAAGCGGGGTATTGTGGATTCGGAACCAATTTCGGTGGTTTTCTTGGGTATAGCTTAACCACAGATTTAAATGTCAACTAAGTATGGATAACTAAGTATAAATTCTGTATAGGTTTGTAAGCAGACTTTTGACAAATCCATGAAATCAAACATTCATGAAAATACAATTTTTCCGCAATCCACGAAAATTGGTAGCAATGAAAATAAATGAATTCACAGTATACTCATAACTCATTAACATGTTATCATCCTGAGGGCTGTTCCATTAAAACATACATGGTACCCAGGGAAGGCACTTTGAAAACGAAGTGACCACCCATAGAAGCGATTTTAGAGTCCTGCATAATTTTAAACTCATTAAACACAATATTTGGCACCCACCCATAGTGTCAAATTTAAGTTGCCTTCCCTGGGTCCCATATATGTTTTTATGGAACAGCCCTAAATATGCATTGAATATTTGCTGGTGTATGTTGAGCAGCCTTCAGTGAAATAAATTCTTCATTAAAGATGAAAAACAGGAAGAAAAAAGCTTTATGTATGGAATCCCTGATGTTTAAATTATCTTATTGCATTTCAATTTTGATTGCATAATTGTTTTTAAACTGAAAAAAGCAGTTTTTTTAATAAAAGTATATTTTATCCTTACAGAGCCTAGAGGGAAGTGAAATAAGTGGAAAAAGTAATAAAAGTGAAGATAGAAAGGTAAAAAACTTATTATCATGTAACAGTATTAGTTATCATTATTCTCATTGGTATTATTTAAGTCAGAGATTCAGAAAACTAGATGCCAAGGGATGTTAAACAGGCAACTATCAATCAATTAATTAGAAAACATACTGGAAAATGTTTCCATATTTCTGATTACAGCTATTGCTTTCTCAACAACGTCATATTCACAAATAATAAGAATGAGGATAAAAGTATTACATACTTATTAAAAAGTAAGATTGATAGCTTTGCACTGGAATGGTTAAATAATTTAAATTTAAGAGCTTTAAATAAAGTTCTGGTGAAGCATTTGCACAAATTCTTGCATTTAAACAACACTGATTAAATAATATTGTGGTGTCTTTTTCATTACAATGTAGTGTTTTAAAAAATCTAATAAAATGTTTAAAAGTCAGCATAAGAATTTAAAAAAATATTCTTATTTTCAGAAAAAGTTGCTGTCAGAATTTGAAATCCCTGAAGTATTGAAGGAAGAGTTAGAGAAAGATTACTTATCCATCAATAGAGATGAAATGGTAACAATTTTCGATCGATAAATATTTTATTGTATAACTTCAAATAACACCCATAATGTGTTACTTACCTGAGCAAGTAAAAGAAATATGAATTAATTATGAACTTAGTCCTTTAGCATTTTAAAGGAAAAGGTCTGGTAAGGGCTAATTTTGGCCTAAAATTTAAGTACATCTGAAGAGAGATTTGGACATTTTTCAAACACTAAAGTGTCTACTTCATTCAAATCAGTTAGTTTATTTACAAGATTTGAACTGATTAGGGCATGGAAGATGCTCAAATTCAAGCTTCAGTATGAAAAATCTATCAAATATGCTATAAAACGTCACTTTTCAGATGGTTTTTGTCTAAAATGTAAGTGGCTGCATTCGTGTTCAGTCTCAACCTTTATATATGTTGTGTATAATCATTAAGTACAACATGTATTTAAATATTAAGACTGAACACAAATGCTAAAATTGTGAAGATTTTAGTAATTGTACATGAATTATTTATGCTAGTACTTGATGAATGTGCACTGTATTGTCAAACACAGCCCATATTTATGTATTTTGGGGCCAGCAAGGGTTCTTACTGGGCCTACTCCTTTAAGTTGAAACTAGCTTATTTAAAAATTGTCATTAACATGCTGTTTTATTTAACCATAAATGAATAGTCAAGATATAATTCATTTTTGAGGTATACATCAAATAGAAAAATGTAATTTATTTTTATCCTATACATCAGGATGGACAATCGGCAACCTTTTAACCTCATTTGCAATGTAAAGACTAAATCTCTTATAATTTTGTATATCAAGAAAACTATGTAGAAAACAAGAAACGTTGAAGTGTAGACTATTTATACAATATCTTTCTTAATATTTTCCTCTTATTTTCTTGCTTAAGGTACATGATATAAAGACTACATTTACAATGTTGCCCTTAATATTTTCAGCTTGTTTCCTTGCCTACAGAACATAATGTGATCAACATCTTAGAGAGTTTTGTGAAGACTTTTTGTGTAAATCTGATGTGTGGCACACCAGGAAAACCTAGATATTTAGATAAAGAGGGGAACAATATACCATTTGAAAAGAAGTAAGTCATTGTAAATGAAGGTATAGATTATTGATTGGTTGTAATTTGATAAATGTCCAGTGGTAAATATTTCACACATAGTCAAAAGGATCTAGGTACATATTGGGTATTGTTAGATATTCATGGCAATCAAATCCAACTAAAATATCAAAAAAACATAAAATTTTGTACCCCATTCTAAAAGGCTATATTGCAATCACTTTCGTTCATCTGTTAGTCCAACACAAATTTCCTTCTTACTTTTCTCAGAAACTACGGAACAGAATAACTTAACATTTGGTAAGTGGCTTGAGAGTGATGAGTTGTAATACTGTAAATTCAGAAATTATTGCGAGGTTTTTATTTATGCAAATAATGCCAATGGGTGATTATCGCAATACTGAGAACTTGCATTCTGATATCTGATGCAAATATATGTATGCAGTTTTTTCTGAAATCGCAATAATTAATCTCGCATTATTGTCCTTTCTTCAAAAATCGCAATAATAAATGCACGCAATAATTTCTGAATTTACTTTTTGGATCAAATAGAATACTCTATGAACTACAACGCAGATTCAGAGCAAACAATCATGTGAATCACAGGTTATATCTCTTGTACACCAACAAGTTCAGAGAGTGATAAAACATAACAAACTGATCTAGTCATCAAGGATGCCACACAAATGCATACTTTACAAATTAAAACACTTTGGCTCTTCTGATCAGGCAACTAAATGGACTGAATCATTTCTCTCCAATAGAACTCAAACAGTCATCTAAAACACATCTGCAAAATTTCAGTAACATCAGATGTTCCTCAGGGCACTGTACTAGGATCAATACTTTTTCTCATTTACATTAGGGACTTACCTAACTACCTAAAACACAGCCAAATAAGACTCTTTGCAGACTACAGCATCATTTAGTGGCCTATTACCTGCAAAAACGATTGCATTAAGTTTTAAGAAAATATTGAAGCAACTATAAAATGGTAGAAAGACTGGATCATGACATTTCACCCGAAAAAATGCAATATCCTTAGAGTCTCGACAAAGAAAAAACAAATACATTTTAGTTATAATGACATGCATGGTCATTTCCTGGAAAAACCCAAACCACAAAATATCTAGGCATTACACTTTCTTCAGATCTCAAATGGAGGAAACATATACAATCAACAGCAAAAGCAAATCAATCTTTATCATTTATCAAGAGAAATTTTAAAATGAATTCAAAATAAGTAAAGGAAAGAGTTAACCAAACTATAGTTCGACCAAAATTAGAATATTGTTGCATAGTTTGGGATCCACACACTTCAGAAAATAAACAGACTGGAAGCCGGCATCATAACACCAGCAGTGTATCGGAAATGCCAAATGATCTAAACTGGAAAACCTTACAAGAATGCAGATTAAAAACCAGACTTCAAATGTTCCATAAAGTCATAAACAATGAAATTGCAAAACCATCGCAATAACTACTCATAAAAAGGCAATGTAAAACAAGATCTATCCATCAACAAACATACAGATAGCTTCAATGTAACAAAGACAGTTTAAAATTTTCTTTCTTTAGCCAAACAAAGATTGGAATAAATTACCAGCAGGAATTTCAAACCAAAATTCCACAGACAACTTTAAGGATGCACCGACTCATGAAGTCCTCCTTAAAACATTCTCTCACCTTAACTAAATGTGCTTATTGTTTTTATCATAGTATAAAAAGAAATGTAAAAAGTATATCTAACGGGAAATGAATCTGATAGGCTTTTCAGTATAAAATTGATAAAATCTCAGACGTTACGAGACTTCATGAGATTTATGGATTTTGGTAGCATCTGACTGAAAAACTATCAACTGCTCAACAAATTAACCACATAATTCTAATCGTAAATAAATACAAGTTTTATCATAAAGTAGATATATTTTGTCATATAAAATGACCAAAATAAGTGTGATTTATTTGATGTGAAGTGTTTTAGAATGGTTTGTGAATTTGGGAATGCAATCGGCACCAATTTTTTATTACCCTGTTAACATTCTGTACCCTTCTGTGATGAAATGAATGCAATTATAACAAATTTGAAGTGACAGATTACAAGTTCGATACACTGGCATCACTTTAAAACTTAGTTTGAATGACATTTTATTGATATTATAAGAAATTATTAGGACAATAGCTAGTACGTTTTTAACACATGTCCATTTCTGTATCGTATCTTTATGAAATATGACCCGACGATAAAATCGGCTACAATTAGGTAGTGTCGAGTCCCGTCAATATATATGTTCCTGGAGACTTTTAGAACAAGGATTTGTTTTGACTTTACTATATTTTTATGCTGTTTTAGTAAACCCCTGTGTAAGGAATTAGTAGATGGACTTGGGATTTGTTTTGACACCACTGTTTTTTTCTCTGTTTCAGTAAACACGTGTGTAAAGAATTAGTAGATAGACTTAGGATTTGTTTTGACACCACTGTTTTTCTCTGTTTCAGTATACACTTGTGTAAAGAATTAGTAGATTGACAAGATTTTTTTTAACTCCTTAGTTTTTTTCTTAGTTTCAGGAAACACGTGTGTAAAGAATTAGTAGATGGACTTAGGATTTGTTTTGACTATACTGTTATATTTTCTGTTTCAGTATACACTTGTGTAAAGAATTAGTAGATGGACTTAGGATTTGTTTTGACTATACCTTACCATTAGTCCTGCTGTATGACAACGAGAGACAACAGTATAACAAGTTACAAACTACATACAAGTTCAAAGGGGAAACTAAAACTAGGTAAGTTTCTTTATGTGACTTGTGGTCTGAAAATTGCATCCATCACAAACCACATCTCTTTTGGTGTGAAATTTAATATCCATTGATGTTCATAGATGTTTGTTTTTTTTTTACCTACTTGTTTCCAGATATGTACTGCTTCATCACGTAGAGACACAACTTGGGAATGTTACCAGTACACATTGATAGCGGCCAAATTAAATTCTGAGGAAGACCCTAAGTGAAGGGAGGGGTAATACAGAATTTTAGTATAAGTTTAAACTCTTAGAAGTTCAAGGCATATTAATGTTGAAAATATGCTGCACAGCCCTATGTTTTGACCTTTGAAAAAAATAGTGCATATATTGATGTGAAGGGATAATTGGTACCAAGCAATGATAGAATAATACATTTTTGATTTAGAAGAATTATGGTTGATGACCCCATGAATGTCATTATTATTAAAAAAAAAATGAAAAATCAGGATAAAGACCAATTGTTACCAAACTTTGAATGAATGAGATATTTTAATCACAGTTGATTAACAAAACCACTTTTGAACATGGATGACATTGTTTCTAAATCTATAAAATTCTATAAAAAAAGGCAGTAAAGGTATTCTGAAAAATGTTTAGAAGAATGGATTGCTACCTAACTTTCGCTTGAATGATACATTTATGATCCTAATTTAATATAGTGTCTCACAGCTGAAAACAGGACAATTTCATAAGATCAAATTATTTATTAATATAATGAATTTAAGATGCAATGAAAAATTTATGAAAATCAAGTTTTGAAAAGTGGGATTTTTACCAAACACTTAGAGTTGGCTATTTTCTTTTGAACGAAAGATAATTGAAAAAGTTTAAGAGTGGGCACTAATAATTTAGAGTAGAGGTTTATGTAGACACTATAAAGCCTCTAATTTAAAGTTTTTATCTCAGGTACTGTAGTATGCAAGAATATTTATGGTACTCTAGTATGCCAGAAAATCACTGGCACTGCAGTATGCCAGAATATCTTGGGAATGCTGTATGCCCGAAAATCTTGGGTACTGCAGTATGCCAGAAAATCTCTGGTACTGTAGTATGCCAGAATATCATGTACTGCTGTATTCCAGAATATCTCTGGTACTATAGTGTGCCAGAGTATCTGGGTACTGTGGTATACCAGAATATCCTGGGTACTGCAGTATGCCAGAAAATATCTGGTACTGTAGTATGCCAATTTTTCTTTGGTACTGTAGCATGCCATTTTATCTTAGGTACTGTAGCATACCAGAATATATCTGGTACTATAGTATGCCAGAATATCTATGGAACTGTAGAATGCCAGAAAACCAACAGTACTGTTGTATGCCAGAATATCTGCGTTACTGTAGTATGCCAGAATATCTGCAGTACTGCAGTATGCCAGAATAGCTCCGGCACAGTAGTATGCCAGACAATCTCCAATACTGTATTATGCAAGAAGATCTCTGGTACTGTACTATACCAGAATATCTATGGAACTGTAGTATGCCAGAACATCTCCGGAATTGTTGTATTCCAGAATATCTGCAGTACTGCAGTATGCCAGAATGTCTCTGGTACTGTAGTATGTCGGAATATCTCCAATACTGTATTATGCAAGAATATATCTGGTACTGTACTATGCCAGAATATCTATGGAACTGTAGTATGCCAGAACATCTCCGGAACTGTTGTATGCCAGAATATCTGCGGTACTGCAGTATGCAAGAATATCTCTGGTACTGTATTATGCAAGAATATCTCTGGTACTGTATTATGCAAGAATATATCTGGTACTGTACTATGCCAGAATATCTATGGAACTGTAGTATGCCAGAACATCTCCGGAATTGTTGTATGCAAGAATATCTGGGGTATTGCAGTATGCCAGAATGTCTCTGGTACTGTAGTATGCCAGAATATCTCTGGCACAGTAGTATGCTATAATATCTCCAGTACTGCAGTATGCCAGGACATCTTGAGAACTGTAGTATGCCAGAAAATACCCAGTTCTGTAGTATGCCAAAATATCTCATACTGTAGTATGCCAAAATATCTCATACTGTAGTTTGCCAGAACATCTCCAGTATTGCAGTATGCCAGAATATTTCAGGTACTGTTATTTGCTAGAATATCTCCTACTATAGTTATCCAGAATATATCCCTTACTGCAGTATGCCAGAATATCTCCTGTACTGTAATATTTTAGAATATCTCAAGTACTGTTGTATTTAAGAAAATCTCAGGTACTGTAATGTAGTATGCCAGAATGTCTTCAGTACTGTATGTAGTATGCCAGAAAATCTCAGGTACTGTAATGTAGTATGCCAGAAAACCTCCAGAACAGAAGTATGCCAGAAAATTGCAGGTACAGCAGTATGCCAGAAAGTTTTCAGTACTGTGGTATATTAGCATATGTCTGGTACTGTAGTATGCCAGAATATCCTAGTACGTAGTATGTCAGAAAAACTAAGGTACAGAAGTATGCCAGAATATCTCAGGTACAGAAGTATGCCAGAATATCTCAGGTACAGTAGTATGCCAGACTTCTTCAGTACTGTTGTATGCCAGAATATCACCAGTACTGTAGAAGAAGAATGTTTAAGTTTTGAATGGAGTTACTCTCTTGTGAGCATGTCATTCAGAAATTATAAAAATCTATATACAATACAATTTTTACAGCACTGAATAACAAAAACAATCATGATATAAAAAAATCAAGAATAAGGTTGAAAAATATGACCATAGTTACAAATGAGTATGGATTAGTGCATGGCTTGAGGTATTTTGTTGTAAAGTAGTTGCTATAGTTATATCACATTGAAATAAAAAATAGGAGACCTGGTAAGATTGCTTATGAGACAACGTTTCATAAAAGACCAAAGAACAAGAATTTTAACAACTACAGGTTACCATACAACCTTCAATAATGTCAGAGCAAAATTTTTTTTATAACAAAATGTAAAGGAAACAAAATAGAAAAATTACAACCATATAGAATGCAACACAAGTATCCTTGATGCCCAGCACAGAAGATTTTATAGGTAAAAGTGGGTTGGCTGAATTGAGATACAATTGCCAGACTTTTATTCTTATGTATAATCATAGGTAGAGGCAGTTATTTTTGTTATTCAATTAATTGCAGGTACAGCAGTTATTCAATAAATTGAATAACATGACACACTTTATATTCATATATTACCTAAATTTTAACTTACATCTTTTCTTGCATAACTCTCATCAAATATTTTAAGCATGCAGTCCCCAGGAAGACCACCTGGAAGAGGGAGACCTCCAAAACATCATACAGCAGCAGCCTCCTTAAATGGAGAACCATCACCAAAGTTACCAAAGCTTTCACCAAAAATATTTAAAAAAGAAAAAATAGATTTTACACAAGAAGAAGAGATAACTCCTAGAAGATTGACCAGACAATCAATACATGAAGTTGTGAAAAAAGACACCGATAAAGTGTCCGGGACTGAATCCTCATCAGCAGACGACAATGAGAGGGATATAGACAAAAAATCAGATAGTGTTGCATCGAGTCACAAAAGAGGTAGAAAAAGACGTAAATCAAGTGGAAACAAAGATCTGACAGAACTTAAGGAGGAGGAGATACCTCCCGAGAGGCCTGGACCATCCACACGTCGTGGAGACAGGCCTCCTCCATTGTTGTTACCCAGTGCTGTTTCGGGTCAGGATAAAACCCAGGAGTCAACAGGAAGTAATGAGAGTAGTGACAGTAATACAGCAGCTAATAGAGAAGAAGTTATAAACAGTGTGTTATCATGGCAACTACTCCCACCAGAAGCTTATCAAACATATGCTCCATCTTTAGTGTATGGGGCACAACATCTACTTAGAATTTTCGGTAAAAGACTACTATGTTATTATGTCATATTTAAAACATTTAATGATTCATTGCTCAACAACATTTTTGTGATTAGATGTCTTTTCTGTTCTTATGAAAAACTATGAAAAACTATATACAAAGTAAATATAAGGAGATGTGGTATGTTTGCTAATGAGACAACTATCCACCACAGTTCAAATGAAGACGATGTAAGCAATTAAAGGTCAACACACCTCCTTCAACAGTGAGAAAATCCCATACTGAATAGTCAGCTATAAAAAGTCTGGACATGAAAAATGTGGAACAATTCAAACGAAAATAAAACTAACGGCTTTATTTATTACAATTGAAATAACCAAAAACAAATATGTTTTCATCATAGCTATAGTAAGACTACAGTCTCCAAGACTTTCAAATTTTATTCATTATCAGACATTTAAGTGTGCTCACTCTTGTGTATATACAAGAAATTAGCCCTGGCAGAAAAGTAATTCAAATTTTTTTTCTGTACTAACAGTTGAGAATAAGAAAAAAAAGAGTAGTTTTAATATTAAATCAACGTATATTAAAGAATTGATTTTTTTGTGTGTGTGTATTTCATAAAAGTAAAGTTAAAGTCAGATTTTTCATTGTAAGAAACAGTTAGAATGTGTCAGCTAGAACTTGAGTTCAACAAACATACCAGTACCATTGAATAAATAAGTAAATTATTATTACATGAAACAATAAGTATCCGTTATCTCTTAATTATGGACTTTAGATTTTTAATGTATACTTTCAGTAAAAATGCCAGACTTGATCATGTCCATGGATATGAGTGAATCTAAAGTACAGGCTTTAGTCAGTTTGCTGGAGCATTTTCTAGAGTAAGTATCAAAGAATGGTTATTAAAGCAATTTTGATTCTTTAAAACTTGAGTGAAGGAAGCACATTTACTGATATAATTTAGCATTTGGAGTATTCTACTTTGCAGTAACATATTTTAGGGATCAAACTGTAGGTTAATTTAGAAGTTCACAATGACTAAAGTGACATTAATATTTTTGATTTGTTAAGTTAGTTTGTATCCTTTGCTATTGATACAGCAATTTATTTTGGAATACTATACAGGTTCGGTGCTTTTATCCATTTCTGTACATTATATACATTTATGAAGCTGATAATATGTGGTATTTGTATATGTTTTGTTTCCAAATTTTTCAAAATTATATTTTACTCTTATATTAATCAGTGTTTGACAGTCAGATCTATAATTTATTAGTGAATCCTAATGATTTTCTCATATTTTCTTTTATCCATAATTTTGCAATGCTATTTTGTCTATATTTAATTAATATAGCATTAACGCAACAAGAAAATAATTTCAGGAATTTAAAATACAAGTATAAATTATTACGTTTTTTTTCTAGTTATTTAACAGAAAGAAGAACAGAACTATTTACATCAGCATCCTACAAAAGTGGATGACGGGATTTGTAGCCAGGTCACAGAATTAGAGTTCATTTCATAGGGCATATAGTATAGAAAATATATATGATTGAAAAACAAGGACTAAACAATGTTTATCTGCTTATGGGAGTTATGAAAGGATTCTGCTTTAAGAAGCTGAGGCTGTTCTGAATTTATTTGTTTGACAATGTGAAAGTTGTAAACCTTTAAGTGTGGAAGATATGTTACTCATAAATTGTATCATTTATAACATTTACCACGTCGTGTCATAATGACATAGCCCAACAGACAATCTATCATATCACTTTGTCATTAGAATATATTCTGGGTTCATTTTTATTGAAACTGATTTCATGTGGCCTTGAAAAAGTTAGTTTTGTGGATGTTTTATTTCTTATTTGAAGTAGACAAACATTCGACTTTTTGCTGAGTATTGATTCCATTCATTGTTATATATTTTTTTCATACATTTTTCACTTATCATATATTAGTCTCCATTATAAGATAGTACGCTGAAAAAAAATCTTTTCTGAAACAACTTAACCAATGTAAACCATAAGTTGTCAAGAATAATCACAATGCTGTCTTGGTCAATCTATGTTCCAAGATGAAAAAACATAGTGTTTCATTACTGATTTTGAGACGGTATAATGCATAGATAGCAGGGCAGGCATGAAGCAGTTCCCTTTATACTTTTGTTACTTTAAGTTTAAAGGGTCCTCAATCTATGTTACTCTTACCTGACATACATTTCTTTGTTATTTTATATTTGTTGTTGAGTTCAAGATTTAGTGCATACCAGAATTCAGACCTGCCAACTATCCTGATTTATGGGGGATATCCCCATGAGAAGTGTTGACCTGAATATTGAAAGTCTTTATTATATAAATTGAACACCTCAATAAAGGCATTCAAATGAGTTAAAAGGGTCTTTAAGCACATACATACTCATTCAAATAATATAGAAGTTGATTAAAAGCACTAATGACAATATAAGAGGAGCATTAGGTCCTCTTGCACTTTAAATCCCCTATGGTTATTTTGATAGTTGGCAGGTATGAGAATTTCAACTGTAGATAACTATACCCAATTTGTATGCCCCACCTATGTTGGAAGGAGGCTTTATGTTATATGATCTGTGTGTCCTTATATCCAAAATTCTGTTTATCCATCCAATATCAGCTTAATTTTGATCAAGGTAATTTACCATAAAATTGAAGTCACAACAATTTGATACTTGGTACACATGTTAATTTTTATGCAAACTTTTTGAATTTGTTTCAAAATTTTAAGGATTGTGGGTAATTTATTGTTCTTAGTTCCAATATGAAGATTATGTCACATCATTGGTCGAATTCACATTGTTTAGGACGTTGTAAGCCAATCACAACCTTTTGGTGTACTCTAGTGAAAATATTACCTAGAATTCTGAAATTTTGAATCGCATGCCAATTTACGGTTTTGACACCAATTACACAGATCACTGAATATAGAAATGTGATAGTTGGAAATTAGTACATTCTCAGTTTAAAGTTTTGGGGTTAGTGAACTTTTAAAATTATATGATAAATTACAATTTTGATCCTGATTTCATGGTTCACTGAACATGGAAATATTTGGTAGTGCAAGTGGGGGATGGTGTTCTTTGGACACATTATTGTTTAGCCAATAGTTTGGTTTATAAACCAGTTGTTGTTATGATTTACAATGAATTTTGAAATTGATGTGAATTTTTTTATTAAGATAGTTAAGCAGGAAACATAGTTTATTGTAAATTTGATTCATATAGTTTGTCAGCAATTGGAGTAACGCAATATTTCATTGATTTTGTAAAATTTAAATATTTTAACCAATAGTATATTTTTGTGTGCATTTTTACTCTGTGAAAGTTCTACATACAAACATTTAACTAAATTAAATGCAAAAATATTTTTAGAATCGAAAATCTTAACTTTTAAGTGAAGTAATATGAATTATTTGCTTTCTTTGTACTACACTCATATGGAATATTTACATTGTAGATGTAAGATGTTAACAGCAACTAAAGTTCATAAAACATATAGAGCTTCATTGTAAAATTTCATAGAATGTGTCGAATATTTTTGTAAAACATTGTTCCTATTCCTGTTCATATCTTAAATGTTGAGTTGTATATATTTTTAAAGTTCATAAGCTTGCATGATTTTAAAATTTAGTGTCTATGTAGATATATTTAATAAATGTGTCATGTTCAAAAACTTTTATATTTACTTCTTTAGTTGAAAGTTGGGTTTATTATTATATGTAAGATGAATACTTACATTTCTTGACTGCTTGTTCAATATATAAAAAAAGGATATAGGGTAATTTCAGGAGGAGTCGTATAGGGAGTATTCAAGGCACTTTAATACATATTAATTATACATGGGTAATGGGGTTGAGACAATTTTTAACACTAATATACACTCTAATTTCTAACTAAAAATGAATAAGTGGGGAGTCTTCAAAAAAATGTGCCTTCCAACCGCCAATACTTTTTTTTCCTGGAATAGCTGTTATTAGATGTTCCTTGGTATTTGGTGTCATTTGACTACTGTCTCATGGATATATATACCCAACATTTCCATTATTCATGTTCAAGGCATGGTAAACTTAATTGGACAGTATTTCAGTTTTTTTTAAAGATTTTGTATGCATTTAAAACACTAAGCTGCACCTGAATATTAGAAAAATATTATTTGTAGCATTTACACTTTTAGAGATACACGTATAGAATGTTCATTAAAAAAACAAGAAAAATGGAATTCATATACCTTAAACTGATTTCTCAAATTCTGTCCATAGAATTTTGATTAAAACTGATATCTTATTGCTGTTAACATTTCCCTTTTAATGATTTTTTGCTGTAAAAATCATTCAAATTTGAATGATGTTTTAAGAAAAAACATGAAATCTTACAGTCACAATATTTATGCTTATTTTGTCTTTTTGATGCTTTTTAACTCTAAATATTGAGAATAATTGATAAATACTGGAGAAAAAATCTGGTGACCCCTAATATTTTCATAACAATAGACAAAAAATGATACAGCAATAACATACCATTTTATACACATTCTGTGGATGGAATTTCAAGGTATCACACATCAAAGTAAACAAAATGCATTTTTTTGCAGTTTTTACTTGTATACTAACATATATACATACATAGATATTGTAAACATGCATACATCCAGACTAAGTTTACTAGTCAATGACACTATCTAGATACTACCAACCAGAATACAAGTTTACTTATCAATGACTTTTATTACATACTGCCAAACAGAAACTAAGTTTACCAGACGATGACACTTATTAGTTACAAGTTTTCCAGTCAATGACACTAATTAGATACATGTACTCCCAAACAGAACCTAAGTTTACCAGTTGATGACATTTATAAGATACTACCAAACAGAACTAAAGTTAACCGTCAATGACACATATTAGATACTGTCAAACAGAACCTAAGTTTACCAGTCAATGACACTTATTACATACTGTCAAACAGAACCTAAGTTAACCAGTCAATGACAGTATCTAGATACAGCCAAACAGAAAACAAGTTTACCAGTCAATGATGCTTATATAATACGGCCAAATAGAACCAAAGGTTACCAGTCAATGACACTTATTTGAAACTTCCAAACAGAACCAAAGTTTACCAGTTAATAACACTAGATATTTCCAAACAGAAACCAAGTTTCCCAGTTAATGACACTAGATACTCATAAACAGAACCTAAGTTTACCAGTCAATGACACTTATTAGATATTACCAAACAGAACACAAGTTTACCAATCAATGACACTAGTTAGATACTGCCAAACTGAACCAAAGGTTCCAGCTTATGGCACTTATTAGATACTGCCAAACGGAACCAAAGTTTACCAGTCAATGACACTAGTTAGATACTGCCAAAAAGCATCCAACCTTACCGGATAATGACACTTATTTGAAACTGCAAAATAGAACCAAAGGTTACCAGTCAATAACACTTATTAGATACTACTAAACAGAATCCAACCTTACCTGTTAATGACACTTATTTGAAACTGCCAAACAAAACCAAAGTTTACCAGTTAATAACACTAGATATTGCCAAACAGAAACCAAATTTACCAGTTAATGACACTAAATACTGCCAAACAGAATCCAACCTTGTATGTTAATGACACTTATTAGATACTACCAAACATACCAAAGATAACCAGTCAATGACACTAATTAGATACTACCAAACAAAACCAAAGTGTACCAGCTAATGACAGTTATTAGATACTGCCAAACAGTACCAAAGTTAACCAGTCAATGATGATTATTAGATACTACAAATCAAAATCAAACCTTACTGTTAAGGACACTTATTTAAAACTGCCAAACAGAACCAAAGTTTACGAGTTAATGACACCAGAAACTGCCAAACAGAAACCAAGTTAACCAGTCAATGATGATTATTGGATACTACAAATCAAAATCCAACCTTACTGTTGAGAACACTTATTTAAAACTGCCAAACAGAACCAAAGTTTACGAGTTAATGACAATAGAAACTGCCAAACAGAAACCAAGTTAACCAGTTAATGACACTAAATACTGCCAAACAGAACTTAAGTTTACCAGTCAATGACACAAGTTAGATACTTTCAAACAAAACACAAGTTTACCAGGCAATGACACTTATTAGATACTGTCAAACAGAACCAAAGTTTACCAGTCAATGACACTAATTATATACTACCAAATATAACCAAAGTTTCCAGTCAATGACACTTATTAGACATGTTAGATACTGCCAAACAGAACACCAGTTTACAAGTCAATGACACTAGTTATATACTTTCAAAAAGAACACAATTTAACCAGGTAATGACACTTATAAAATACTACTTAACAGAACACAATTTTATCAGGCAATGACACTAGATAGATACTGCCAAACAAAACCAAAGTTTACCAACTAATGACACTTTTTAGATAATGTCAAACAGAACCTAAGTTTACCAGTCAATGACACATATTAGATCATGCCAAACAGAACCTAAGTTTACCAGTCAATGACACATATTAGATCATGCCAAACAGAACCTAAGTTTACCAGTCAATGGCACATATTAGATACTGTCAAACTGAACATAAGTTAACCAGTCAATGACGCTAATCATATACTGCCAAACAGAACACAAGCTTACCAGTTAATGACACTGTCTAGATACTGCAAAACAGTACACAAGTTTACAGTCAAGGACACCTATTAGATAATGCCAAACAGAACCAAAGTTAACCAGTCAATGACACTAATTAGATACTACCAAACAGAACACAAGTTTACCAGTCAATGACACTTTTTAGACACTGTCAACCAGAACCAAAGTTAACCAGTCAATTACACATATTAGATACTGTCAAACAGAACCTACGTTTACATGATCCTTCTTTATGTATGAAAGTACGCATCATCGAGAAAATTTATCAACACACCAATAGCCCTATATTAAGTACTCCTTTCCGAAAAGATAGAGAAAATTATTGGATAAGGGAACTAGGTACTGCAATGCCATAGTGTTGCTATGCTAACATCAAAGGAGTAGGAAATTTGTCAAGTCCAGCCTGCTGTGATGTAAATGTAATGGGCTTATTTAATACTACTTTAAGACACCAGCGTAGTCATTGGCAAAAACGTTCCCATCGGTCCAATGTAAAAAAGTTTTCTAAATGTAGATCGCCCTCTGGGAGCTTTGATGACCTTCTTTCACATCTTCATCATCCGCTAGGGTTACATAACATTATAACTATTCTTTTTTCATTGCCGGTTAATTTTCTAAAATGTTTGAGAGATTAAGCACTTGACAAGGGATGCATAGATACATTTTTTTCAATATACAGACTAGTCAGTATAATTTGTAATGTAGCTCTTTTCCATCTTTTTAAACCAGTAAGATCGGAACCTTTACATGATGAAAAGAGAAAATTCCTTCCAGTTAAATTTTCAAATAAAGGAAGTGATGCAATTAACATCAGCAACGTTCTTCATCACAAGGAGGTAACATCCAAAATTCCACTTTATTTTCAAAATCAGTCTGTCCCTATTGTATCCTACAGTTACACTAAAACCATTGCACCTAAAGTATTTAACTATCGGCAAGCATTGCAGGACCTTGATTTAGAAGAATACCTAAAAAACCCTCTGACATGCGACTGTTTCTACTCGCCTTAGATTTACAGCCCCTCTGGCCATGTTATTACTGGGGATCTAAACATAATTCAACATGAACATCTACGAAAGGTGATATTTCATGGTCCTAAGTTTAGAGAACCCAACACATCAATTGGAACCATAACTTCAAAATAATTATGGATTCCATTGAGGGCTACGCCAGAGCATGGGCTAAATGAGAAGAAGTTGAAATAGACACTTTATCAGAATGGGTCAAAACAATCAGGTCACTGATAAAACGTCCAAATAATAAGTTGAAAAACTGTGTGAATAATCGACTAATGTCCGTTTACAGAGACAAAGAAGCTGTGAAATGTCTATCATCTCTTCACGATAAATATGTTGTTGTTCCTGTGGACAAAGCTTCATATAATATTGTCTTTGTATGTAAATCGTACTACTACGAGTGCCTTGTAAAAGAATTAGGAATAAATGAGCACTCAGGTAATCCCACATACAAAAACATGTCATTTGACAAGGATGAGATTTTGGCGAATCATACGTCATTCATGGCTTCAATGAAAATTACATTTAACAGCAAATCTGAGGACTTACCTTGTTTGTATTGGATACCTAAGCTTTACAAAATTCCGTACAAATAATTGTACATTGCCGGCTCATCTGTATATTCTACAAATGATTGTCCATTAGATTGACGAAAATTTTGTCGGTAGTGAAAGAGAGTCTTCAGAAATACTGTGAAACTGTTTACTCGCGTAGTGGTATTAACCATATGTGGATTCTAAAAAAACTCTAAAAAACTTCTGGATAATTTTAAATCTCGATCTTTCTCTGAAATTAATTCTATCAAAACTTTTGATTTTTCAACCCTGTTTACCACCATTCCCCATGTGAAATTGAAAAATCTTCTGAAAGAAATAATCCACAATGCTTTTCAATAAAAGAATGGTAGCATACGCTATAAATTTATTCCTTATGGATACCATACGGCATATTTTGTTAATAGTGAACAAAAATGTAAAACATTCTACACAGAGGAACAAGTGATCAGTATGCTGGAGTTTCTTTCTGACAACATATTTGTTGAATTTTGAGTTAGACAAATTGTCGGCTTTCCTATGGGAACGAACTGTGCGCCTCTCCTTGCCGACCTCTTTTTATTTTCATATGAGTCGGAGTTGTCAAAAACAAGAAGTTATTGATGATGTTCTTTCCATAAACAATCCAAACTTTTCTGATTGGGTTCCATTAATATATCCTCCAGAACTAGAAATTACAGAAACAACAGACACGGCTTTCTCAGTCTCATTTTTAGACTTATACCTCGAATTTGACATCAGCGGTCATCTCGGTACCAGAATCTATGACAAACGAGACGATTTTAATTTTGAAATTATCAATTTCCCCCACCTTAATAGCAATGTACCAACTTCACTTGCGTATGGGATATACATTTCCCAAACATTCGGTATTCAAGAGCTTACAGCTGCTACTCAGACTTTGTAAAACGTCACCAGTGTCTGAGCAAAAAGTTGATGAACCAGGGTTATGTCATAGAACGTCTCGTCCTTTTTCTAAAAAAGTTCATCGGAAGATACCAAGACCTTGTTGATAAATATTCCGTATCAACTTCACATATAATACATGATGGTCTTGATGTAAAGATTATAGGTACGTCGTTGTGCTGTTGTCATTTTTTGTATTCTTGTGTTTAATGTTGCGTATGTGCTTTGTCTATATGCCATTTTGTTTTTCTTTGTTGACATATTTGTTTGTTTTTATAGTGATTGAGATTATAACACAATGTTGACTGCTGTACCTCTTTTTTTGACATTTTTACCTATTATGTCTGTTTGTTTTGTTCACACATTGTAGTCACTATAATGGAATTGTATGCGACTATCATACAAGTGAGAGGTTTAGCTAACTTTAAAACCAGATTTAATCCACCATTTTCTACATAAGAAAATGCCTGTACCAAGTCCGGTATATGACAGTTGTTTTTCCATTTGTTTGATGTGTTTGAGCTTTTTTTTGCCAATTGTTAAGGAACTTTTCGTTTTGAATTTTCCTTGGAGTTCGGTATTTTTGTTTACTTTTTACCAGTCAATGACACTTATTACATACTGTCAAACAGAACCTTTGTTTACCAGTCAATGACACTTATTATATATATAGATACTACCAAACAGAACAAAAGTCTACCAGTCAATGACACTTATTAGATACTGCTAAATAGAACACAAGTTTACCTGTCAATGACACTAGTTAGATACTGCTAAACAGAACACAAGTTTACCAGTCAAGGACACTTATTAGATACTACCAAACAGAACACAAGTCTACCTGTCAATGACACTAGTAAGTTACTGTCAAACAGAACACAAGTTTACCAGGCAATGACACTTATTAGATGCTGCCAAACAGAACACAAGTTTACCAGGCAATGACACTAGTTAGATACTGTCAAACAGAACCAAAGTTTACCAGTCAATGACACTAGTTAGATACTGTCAGACAGAACCAAAGTTTACCAGTCAATGATACTAGTTAGATACTGTCAAACAGAACACAAGTTTACCAGGCAATGACACTAGTTAGATACTGTCAGACAGAACCAAATTTACCAGTCAATGACACTAGTTAGATACTGCCAAAACAGAACCAAAGTTTACCAGGCAATGACACTAGTTAGATACTGCCAAACAGAACCAAAGTTTACCAGTCAATGAAACTAGTTATATACTGTCAAACAGAACCAAAGTTTACCAGTCAATGACACTAGTTAGATACTGTCAAACAGAACACAAGTTTACCAGTCAATGACACTAGTTAGATACTGCCAAACCAAAGTTTACCATTCAATGACACTAGTTAGATACTGCCAAACAGAACACAAGGTTTACCAGTCAATGACACTAGTTAGATACTGCCAAACCAAAGTTTACCAATCAATGACACTAGTTAGATTCTGCCAAACCAAAGTTTACCAGTCAATGACACTAGTTAGATACTGCCAAACAGAACACAAGTTTACCAGGCAATGACACTTATTAGATACTGCCAAACAGAACACAAGTTTACCAGGCAATGACACTAGTTAGATACTGCCAAACAGAACACAAGTTTACCAGTCAATGACACTAGTTAGATACTGTCAAACAGAACACAAGTTTACCAGTCAATGACACTAGTTATATACTGCCAAACCAAAGTTTACCTAAGATTAATATAATGTACAGTGTTCAATCTCGCACACAACAGGTTTGATTTTCCGGGGGGAAAAAATATTCAAAGGTTAAATAATGTTGTTCTTCCATGCGTTGTTAAATTGTGTTAATGGTTTTTATTCTCCCACCTGTCTTAATACTGAGTTAACACTTTAACGGTATTGGGAATCACTGAACCTGTTGAGTCAGGAGCCTGTAATTCAGTGGTTGTCACATTTGTTTTTCGTTACTTGTTTTGTACTTAAATCAGACCGTTAGTTTTCTCATTTGAATTGGTTTACATTTGTTATTTCGGGGTCTTTTCTAGCGTACTGTACTGTATATGTTTTACTCATTGTTGAAGGCCGTACGCTGGCCTATTGTTGTTAACTTCTACTTCAGTTGGTCTCTAGTGGAAAGTTGTCTCATTGGCAATCATACCACATGCACATTTAAAACATACAAATTAATACAACCTACTCCGCGGTTTCCAGACTGCTATAGCATTTTTTGATTTATTAATTAGTTTCTCCAATTCTTAGGCAATTTATAATCTCCTCGAACGGTTGATTCTTTTAATCGTCTAAAAAACCATTAGAGAGACAGATTCCACCTCCGTATTTCGTGCAATACACTTTTTATTTACTCGACATTTACAAATTGTGTTGACCGAATATCGTATCACACTCGTAAGCTTGTTCTAGGCGGATTACTATACACTTGTGATCATAGAGCGTTAAATACAAGCAGATTCCAATCAAATCACACTCGACGATGCAGTGTTAGAATATTTATCTGAATCTGCGAACTAGAGGTATCCCGAGGCTGTTTTTTTAACGTTTTTTATGTGATCACAACATTAATTCAATTACTAAATATAATATTGAACACGTTAAAGTCTTGAGAGTGCAAGTGATCTAGCCTATGGTCGCCATTGTCGAGCCAAAAAAAAATTGCTGCTTCTCTGCCTAATACCAGGCAGCCCGAATAGGAAAAATAAAAAATACGGGTATACCAGCTAGAAATAAGTGGCTCTGGGAGATCAATTCTATGACGTGGACTGTTCCTTGTATTAACTTAAAAAACAATCCGATGCATGTAGCCCGTTGGTTTGATACAAAGCTTGATTACAAATGACATTAACCAAAAACGACCGTCTTATATGATATCTTTCGCTGGACATTAAGGACCCTCATTCAATCATGTATTCTTCCGACTTGTAATTAAAACTTATGGTGTAAATCTATATATAAACGATGAAGGTTTAACTTTTAAGCAGTGCATTTAATATCAATCTAATTGGGACAATTATTCTTTAAAAAGAAACACTGACGGATTTTATTTCGTTATTTTATCTAGTCATGATTTTCTTATATCATCTTAATCCATTTCGTGAGCAAAACGATTTATTTTAAAGCTGCGAAAGGATAAAATCCGGGATATAGTTTACGAGTTTAAACTAACGTGTTACATTTTGTACTTTAAAGCGTTTTAAATATAAGAATACCGATACATAACATTAAAGTCTTTAAACGACTGTGATGTGTAAACAAGGACGCTAAAGTAAAGGTGAGACTGACACTAGCACGTGAACTCTTCACAACCTTATTAACCACAGAGGCTCGTTGCATAGAATGATGTTTTTGATTGTCACATATATAATAGCGGACTGTATATCACTATATGCAGAATCTAAAACGCAAACTAGTCAACTGGTACATATTTCCGACACTAAGCGCGCCCTAACCAGCTAATGCCTCTCTTAGTACTGGGAAAAAAGACACAAGCACCTGACGAGTTTGTTCCATGTACTGTAGTGTATAGTAACTGTTCAACCCAGTACAACGTACGGTTCCCAAGTTTCATTTGGAACTTTCATTATGTAATATTTTATCCTTTTTAAAGGAAATTTTCTTATAGCATTGGATAAACTATTATGTAAGGAAAGTTCCCAATGGAACTTTTGTTATATGATAAAAGTTCTTTGGAACAAATATTATGGGGGAACTTATATTCTGTCACAAGTTGGTCTACCATAAGTTATGGAGTATACTATGCAAAAAAAAATAGACTTTTAGTTACTTATATATATAGCATATCATTCATTGTCATTAATCTTCTCTTGTGGTGCATTATGTTTTTTTTACATTATTTGTCATGTTGTATATGTCATGCATGTTGTACACTTATATTACGCAATGTCATATTAATCATATGATATGTGCTTTATCCACTGAAATATTTGAATTTGATAAAAAGTGATACATTCGGACTGCCGTAAAATAATTTGATATTCGGTAGATATTAGGTACATGAAAATATTTTCAGCCCACCTGATCCGTTAAACAAATGCCATCACTTGACATACGTTGTTGTTCTCGTGGTTTTTTTTTAACTAGAAAACAGATTTGAAAGCCGAATCTAGATTTATATATATTATACATATGAGCAAAATAATCAAAGAGGTCCAAGGAAAAGATACACAGATGTTTAAAGTTGCCATTATATCTAAGAGAACACTGTTGTATAGCTTCTAAATATCTAAATCATCATCGTTCAGTTTCCCCTACTGCCTTATATTGAAATATCCCCTGCGCTACGGCCCTGCTTAAATAGCTTCACCCTTCATGCACCGGCACTTGTCTCAGACAAAAATGTCCTATATATAATCTTGATATAAAGGTATATAGGAAATTTTTTCTAAGACAAGTGCCTGTGTCATTGATAACCAAGGAAAAAATTTATATACAATTTTTCCTTACATTAAAGCTTTGTTAAAAAAAAAGAAACGTAGCCCTCGCTCATGAAAATATTTTAGTTCTCTATGAAATTATAGTATATTTGAGATTATTACGGCTTTCTTTTTCTTCCAGATAAATGGAAGAACTGTTGCACAAAGCCATAGAAAATGGAGACGAGAAAAGAGTTCGACACCTCATTCAAAAAGGTGCTGCTATGGACAAACTTATGGGATTACGAGGAACGGCATTATGTGCTGCAATATCTGACCGCCAAACTGACATAGCATTTTATCTAATTGATGCCGGATGTGACGTAAATGGAGAGGATTATGATAGGGAACCTCCCTTATTGCTCGCAATGCGAAAAGAACGTTTTGAAATTGTGAAAAAATTGATCGGTCATCCTAGATGCCTTTTGAATAAACCAGATCCTTTGACTAAACTAACTCCTCTTTGTTTTGCCGCCAAGTCAGGGCAGACTGAAGTCGTTGATTGGTTGGTCAATGCTGGGTGTCATATGACAGGAAAAGATGCAGAAGGCAACTCGGCACTTCATCTTGCTATAGAAAACAGCAACTATGATATCGTTCAGCGTCTTGTTCAAATTGGAAGTAGTTTGATAGAATTAAACGACGAAGGATTTGCGCCAATACATACGCTTGCAAGAAAAGGTGACTGTAGGAGTCTGGTCATGATAATGTCTAAATGGGTTCATATTGAAGAAAGCATTCCACAAAAGTTTTCAAGACTTGATATTTCAGAAAAGATCCAACCGATGGTTATGCAGACCGTTAACAGCATTGCAAAATATGGCCATGAAACGCCATTACTTCTCGCTGCAACACGCGGGCATTCTGACTTGATAAAATTACTTCTTATATGTGGAGCAAATCCAAATGTTGGCGACCACTTAAAAGCGGACCTTGAATGTGAGGATGGTCCAAGGAGTTACCTTTCAACACCTATTGCACGTTTGTGTTCAAGCTATCAAAAAGGAGAAGTAAGGCTAGATGTGTTTACGTGGCTTTTAGATGCAGGCTGTCGAGTTGACCAATCCGCTTTAGTAATAACACGACAGGAAAGGCTTGATATGACACCTTTACAGTTTGCTGCTAAATATGATCTACTAGATTTATCCAAACTGTTGGTAAGTTATGGAGCTGACGTAAATTTAAGGAAGGACATAAATGATAACACGCCTTTGTATGTATCAATTATAAACAATTCAGAACGGGTAATGTGGTATTTTCTCAAAAACTGTAGCATAAGATACGAAAATGCTGCAGGATTTGGGTCCAGACATTATTTCCATGCGACTGTCTCCTTGCCGGAGAAAAGTTTGGCACTTGTTTTAAACCACTTGAGATCGACAACGTGTAACGTTAATGGAATTGACGATCAACAAAAAACTGCATTATTTTTAGGAATAGAGAAGCAAAATTTAACATTTGTACGCAATATCCTTGATCTTCATGCGGATGTTACGGTTTGTAACAAAGACCTTGATAGCCCCCTCCACAAATGTGCAGAAATAGGATCGGTTGAAATTACAAAATTGCTATTGGCGCATGGAGCCGAAGTAAACAAAGAAAATTCAAGAAAAATGATCCCATTAGATGTTGCTCTTGAAGATATGGAAGACAAGGATCATAAAGAAATTGCTATTCTTTTATTACAAAATGGCTCACGTGTTTCATCTATGTCGTCTGACATTTTAAAAGACGAAGAAAAAAGCGACAATAGCAAGTCTTATATTGATGGCGACGATAGTGATAGTGATTCTTCCATCAGCACTGATTCTGAGGACAACAACGACTTAGATGTAGTTCTGAAACAATTACTTTCAGACCAACGTAATAAACCAGTGTCCCTATTTATGCACACTGTTGCAGCTATCAGAAGTTATTTCAGGGACAATTCTTTGTCATTTTCTGGAATGTCTTCCTTACCCTTACCAAAGATTGTTATTACTCGTATTTTATTAAATTAACTTGTTTTTCTTTCGAGGGGTCAGTGTTGCGATTTACATGTGTCAAAATATAGAATCTTATTCAATTTCCGCTCTATTTACTCTTTTTTTTTGTTGAAGTACAGACCGTACCTCAGATGATTGTGAGGAATCGTGGTTTCGATCCAGATTTCTTTACAAAATGAGAATTAGAAGAAACCAGGTATCAACATAAATTGGTTTGGAGTGACAATTCCAAGATAAAGAATGGGGGTGCCAAGGGGTAACCATAAACCGTGAATAAAAAATTGATAAGACCGCTTGATAAACAGAGAGTATATGCAACAATTCGTTGAAAAAATATGAAGCGAGAGCTCCATCATAAAACAGGGAGTTACCGAAATTCTCGTCATTGGTTTTCGCGACCGGGTGCTTGTCTATCAATACTTTGTTGTTGATACCATATATCGATCTTAATTGTAGGTGGGTCGTGTAGATTAACCCACAACTGTCCTAGATTTGGGTCGATTTTAATGCCATTGTCCAAGAGATCTGCAAGACCATTTTTCTTACTTTTTTATAACAACCGTTGAGACATTAAAATTGATGACTGACAAAATAGCAAGTATTTACCAATCTAATGAATTAAAATATTTAAAAAAAAAGACTAATTCATTGATTGTTGTTTGCTTAACATCTAGTTGCAAATATTTGATATATCTTCAGGATTGAAAATTAATAATACATCTCACAAGTATATGCTCTGAGTGGGTCGACTGGGATGACTTTCGAAGAGCAGGAATTTTGGACTGTTACTGTAAAATGAGGGCATTTTGGATCGATTCGGAAACTCTGTCTCACAGTAGACTACTTACGAACCCAAAGGAGTTATTTGCAAAGATTATTGGGTGCACAAAGAGAATGGCTGCTTCTTTACACGAGATATATTATTAAATTTTCTTCTTAGCGTTTTACAGAAAACCACAATATAAGATTGAAATGTCTTTGATACTTAAAGTTTGCATCAAATTTTGATTTTGCTAGACGTTTATTTAAATATTATGATATACGGTTAGTTAAAAAAAACTCCCCCAAACTATCTCAAAATAATCTCGATAAACCTTAAAAGATTTCAATTTTGTAAATTTCTGTTTCTTTGCTTGCTATAATTACATCTCTTTTAATTCATAACTCTGCGTGAAACAGGCGAGAAACAGTTTTTCAGATTTATGTGTTGACGTCTTTACATATAAATGGTAATGTGCTGCAAGACGCCGCTTATTTCTTAAAAGGTTCATAGACGCGTGCTGTCATTGATAGATATGTGTCAAGAGAGAACTCAACTATGGACAAAATAACAAAAAGGTACAAATATATTGACAATTAATGTACTACTAACGAGTGTTACACAAGCAATACACATTCATTTATTGGCATTATATCATCAAATATGCATGTAACGCATACAAAATGCATAGAAATTGGTATTGTCAAAATAATTAACATGAGGTATACGATCAATTAATTTGGTCATTCATTTGTATACAACTAATGATTTCTGATATATAGGTTGTCATGTAATGGTTAAAAAATTGAACATTTAAAGTTCAGATTTGCTCTAAGAAGATATTTATCACACCCAGAGTATTTATCTGTTATTTCAAATCATTATTTGGTATCAAATATTTTTTTTTAACATGATGTATAGTTCGATTGTGAGAAATTGGCATCGCGGCAAACTGTATCATGTATATAGTAGCTGAAAGCAAGCGAACAGTTCGTCATTTACACCACTTACCGAAGTAGACACAAACTTTCACATATATATAGATTTACACAAACGTTTTTTAAGAATACCAGCATTTCTGTTTTTCTAAATAAAATGCCTCCTTAAATGTGGGAATAGTATAGTGTATTCATTTCCTTGCACATTATATACATATTCGTTTTTTTTTCTTTCTAGGAAACGTTTAACATTGTTTGTACAATTAACATGAATACCCAGTGTAATAGGTGCTAAGGCTGACACTAGTAATTTAAAAAAAAACAAGAAAACTGAGACTCCTAAAACAATGACAACCATAACTCAGGACTATGCCCCTTGTTCATTTTATCTTGTCCTTTTGGCAACTGAAATTGATGTTTTGATTTTCTTGGTTCACCGCCCGGCGCCCAATGACAATTTCAATGAAATTGAATATTTTCCATGAGATCATTGAAAAGAAAAGTCGAGTTTTCATTTTTAACATTCTTTTTCGGAAAATAAACACAAATATTATGAAGGGCAGTTCCAGTCACTGTATCAATGTAAATAAATTTAAAACCGTTGTTTTTACATTAAGGTATCCTGTTTTCGCCTAAATAATGTTGTTTGGAACATTAAACTCCATGTACCTATTTGTAAAGTTGTCCATTCTGGTATTTAGCTAATGTTTAACGATCCACATATCAGATGATAGTCACGTGGTTACAGGTAACATATTTACCTGTGGATAATGATAGTTGCTTTTGCAGTTGTCTGTTGCGCACATCAGGGAAATATTATATTTTTTTAATTGATTGAATCGACCACACCTAAAGAAAGATACAAAATATAAAGAATTCTTATGTTTAGATTCAGTGACGTTGTTGCTAAAAATATAGGCGTTAATTTAAGCCATTGTTATTTATTTTAGAAAATGAAAACTAACAATTTAGATTCTTCTGGAGTCTGTGTTACACCATTAAGCAAGCATAAAAAATTCACTGGATTGCAGAGAAGCCAGTCTGAAGCTTCTTTTAATTTGGATTATAATAAAGTAGACGATAGGAAGTACTGCAAACTTGGAAGGAATGGATACACCGATGCCGAACTGGAAAACCATGTTAAACATTTATCTCTGAATGGAATTAATGGTAATGGTACCATACCATTTTACCTAGACCTAGAAAGCGGAGACGGTTCTACGGATAAAACGTTTGCTGGCAGACGTAACGTACTTGATCCGTCTTCACTTCAGGAGAAACAGATCCTTAGTCGGAAAGGCTCTGTACGAGGATTCAAAAACAGAGTTCGTGCTGGCATCAATACGTTCTTGAGGGATGCACCAGATAACACGGTGAGGTTTTAAATATTTTAATACAAAAACAATAGGAATGTTAAGTATTTTGGAGGAGGACGTTAAGAAATGTTTGAGTTTGGTGTCGTCTAGTTATCCAGTGAGGACAGGGCATATATATTTTATATAGAATATCTGAATCCTATGATTGTCGGAGTGGAGTTCCCAATTCCTGCCAAACCCCACTGAAAATCTACCATGATATCCGCAGTCTTTTAAAGTATATAATATGTGATGATTTCGATAACTTTATTTAAAACCATGATAAATCATAGCGATACAATAGGCTGAACTTATCTATATTTATATATTATATATTACAAATGAAAATTCAATAAAAGTACACAGGCATGTCTAATTAAAATAACAATTCGTAAAATTTAAAAACCGTTCATTAGTAAGCACTTTGTTCGTCTAATTATGTCAAAAGTTAATTAAATTAAACAGTAGCCTTGAGATGAGAATGGCATTTTGGTGGCAATGTCCGGGTTTTGACATGATTTTTAGAATTCCCTTTCTATTATACAATTAATTATTTAATTTATGTATTATATGTCGATTTATTGATCGATTGATGTATTAGTTGATCTAATAACAACAAAAGTTCGAAACCTTATGTCACTGTGAAAAATTAGTTGTATCGATAAATTGATTGTGAAAAACATTGATGACTTTTGATTGAATGGTATTGATTTGTCATTGTTGTTTAAATCATTTTTGCAGGAAGAGAGAATTATTAAATGAATTGTAATTAAACGCACATGGACGTGGTCATAAAAGTTTACCTAATACTGAAAAGCAATAAATTACTTGACATGTGGTCTTGGATTTTAGTCTAAATAATAAAGTTATTGCATTTATAGTTCCGAGTACTGTTTTTGATGAATAAGGAAAAACAATAGAAATATAAATACAATGATTTTGTAATAACGATAACTTCCTTGTACAAACATTGACAAAGTTAATCTCTGGAATTCGTTTTGTCATGTATATATATATATATATATATATATATATACATGTATGTGTACATGTATGAGTAACTATCTCTAAACCTTTGATTTCTAGATAAAGGAGGTTATCCTGATGTGTATTTGATCGATCTCTTTATCTTTCAAAAGTCTGTTATTTATAATGAATACATTTAAATTATCTATAATTGAAATTTTAAATTACACGTACATGTAAATAACTTATAAAATCCATTTTAATCTTGGTTAAAAACGTTCTCATCTTTAATTAGAAATAATGCGAACGTTAAGCCAAACTTACTCACCCTTGATATTTTATTGACCAGTCTGGTCTTTGGATCGCTGCAGTATGATGTACAATTGTATTTATTATACCGGTATTATAAAGCTAAGTGCTTTTCCTGTACTGATTTTTATCGGGCGTTCTTTTATGTACCTATACTTACTTCGTTCTTCCGGATTAAAGGCCGGAGAGGGTTGGGATATTAATGCTCAAATAAGGAAACCAATCAGTTGTATTTGTCTTTTACTATAAATCATGTATCTTCATGTTTTAAGAAATTTCATACTTGATGGTAAATTTTTAAAAGTCCATGTGAAATTACTCCGAGCGAGTTAGAGCTTGATGTATTGTTCAGACACTTGACCACCATTAAAGACTGTATCTTGGGTTTTGTGTGTGTGTGTGTGTTTGTGTTCATAGCATGAAAACTGTAATTTGAGATTAGAGGAAAGATTGTGAGAAAGGAGAAAAGGAAAAGAACGTGAAAAGGTACCCATCCTCGATGCACTTGCATGAGAAATAGTGAGGTTTTAGATAAAAGGTTACATGGAGAACAAAGAAAAAAGTGAGAAAGGTACCACTCGGTTATCCCACTTAATTGTACTCAAAGGGATGTACAATGTTGTGACCCCTTCCCCCTTTCCGTCTGTTGGATACTATACAAAGAATGTTCAACCAAGAAGAAATCGCTTGTGCCTTTGGAACATCTGCCAACATACATCGAGTCTTATCAACTAAATCTAGTCAGATATATAACCAGTACATAACAATGACAACCTGGACATATGTTAAAACCTCGCAAACTCTTTTTATATATTATTTAGTGTGTTATTTTAATGGACTCGTTTTCTTTCTAAAATAATCTAATATAGAGCTAATGACAGTGATGGAAGTCTTACTTATGACAGTGAACATGAAAAAGACATGATAAATTATTCACATCTTTTGTCGTAACCTTTGTTTTACCGTATCAAAGTAACAAATATTCGTATGACATACACGTACCTTATATGTAACAAACGCTTGTTAACGTCTCAAGTTTGTGTGTATTGCACATAAAAATATTTACTACTTAGCTTATGGACAAAATCAGTCTTTAAATAAACATTTACGTGGTCATAAAACGTTTTGACTTTACCTTTTTAAAATATTTATATTGACTTGAAGGCTGTTTACAATAGTCTATTGTTATTTAAAATCAATGCTTAAGTAGAAGTAAAAAAAAACAATATACGCAAACATCATTTGTGGAGAAAAAAACTTGAGTTTAAAATCCCCTGCACCGGAAGTCCAAAATTCAGATGCTTATTTAAATTGAATTGGAACTCAGTAAACGTCCTAATGACTTCTTAAATTAAAACTGAAAAAAAAATGGGACTTAAAACTGTCACATAATATAGTGTTTGGTTTTTATACATGCAACCTTTAGGATCCCAAATGAAAAAGAATAATGTCTTTATTTAATAACAAAAATTCACGCGTTGTCGAGCTAAGCATACCCCCACTCGTAACTCAAAGTGTCGGAAACAGGAGTTAGGTGACTGAAAGATCAGAAACACACGTTACAAATTATTACTGTTGGGCTGTTGACCATTCGGTTAAGTGGTTTTTGAGAAAAGTGTGACGAAAATATTTGTTTGGCGAACGGACAAACGGACGGACAAGGCAATATAGCCGATATAATTATACAGTATCTGGATTTTCATGGAAATTATGTGGGAAAATGTATAGTAATACAAGGTGGTCTTTTGTCACAAAACCATAAAAGTAAACATATCTCTTATCGTGCCGTGAACTGCAGCTCTCCTTTCTTTAGTGGGGAAGTGAATGCAAAAGGATGATGATAGAAAATTTTCACTAAATTAAATTTAAAATCACCTAAAATTTGCAAACAGAGCAACTGGTCACGAACACGGAAGACTGTATTCAAATTCACTGTATATAGTTCCTTTTTTCAAATAAAAACAAGGCTTTAATATATATGTAAATAAAGACAAGTGCATTAAAATATCTAAGTTAACATCTGATGTATTGATCATACAGAAATAAAACAAGTTTAATCAATTTTTATTTGCAATAAACTGTTGTCACTTTCAACCTTTGACATATTTTATATATAGATAAGATAACTTGTTGCAATACAAAGATTTAGCCAAGGGTCATAAGTAATAATGTAGTATCATACCTCGTATTATTTGGTCATATATATTTTATAAAACATAATAATGCAAGTTTTACCTTCACCTAGACATGCAAATTTTGTTGAAGTACCTGTTATAAATTACTTTGTAAAAAGTACCAAATAGTCACTTTTATCGATGACATATATATATATACATGTATTTGTTTGCTTTTTATAGCAATTCGGAATTACGTCAGTCGCTATATATATAAAATTATTTTTACAGTTACGATTGGGACTAGGAAAATAGTAAATACTATAAGGGATCAAAGCGAAAAGTAAAGAATGGGTTGCGTTTGAAGCATTTCTTGATTTTATTTCACCAAGAATGGTCTCGAAAGCCAAGAAAGACGTGGAAATACATTCATGGGGAGTTTTATAATAACATTGTTTCTAAAACGAATCGCTGAAACTGTCACGTTCGGCTTGAGGCAGCTACAAATTTTGATTCAGTAAAATAGCTAGGTTCACAAAAACTATCCATTGTAAGTCAAGTCTTGACAAACAGTACATATACGCTGTAGTATGGACCCAGTCAGAGTATGTAAACCGTTTTAAGAAAGAAAGACATCAATTCAGAACCAATATACACACAAAGTGTATATTTTAAAACCTAAGGCAACCAATAGTCAAAGGATAAACACGTTAACGATAGGGAAGCTAAAATAAAGGCAGTCAGTTTTGAAGAACTGTATTTTCCATAATCACTATTGTGATTGATAAGTTCAATGCGGCTTTAAAAGGACATTAGCCACGAGATATAAAAAAAAATTACGTTTGATTTTTGTTTTGTTCAATCATTAATGAAAGTGATATAGTGAAATAATAATTCGCTTTTAGGTTCAATTTTGTCAAAATAAGCTTAGAAACATCGCTTATGAATTATTCACTTGCAAGTGAATAATTCGACCTCATTGAATCCGTATTCCTTAGCTGGAGATGGGTTACGCATGTATTCAGTTATTAAAAGGAAAAGAATGTCAATATTGAAAGTGAAACAAGGTTGAACCATTTGGTTGACTAATTCGATCCACAAAACATCATTCGTATACAGGTAAAAACGATGACAAACTTACTTTTTAACGTACAATATAAAATCAAACAGACCTATAAAATCCAAATGCACGTGGTCGCCATCTGTTTATATTTATGTTTATGTTAATATCTGGTTATATGACCGTCGGCAGTCTTCGGAGGTCATCTCGATGGTTAATTAGATGACGTCTAGACAAAAATACACACGACATTTTGATACATATTATCGAGTCCATGCATTGTTAATTGTTTATTTTAGACTTTTTGTAATTTGGATATACGTTTTAGTATGTTATAAATTAAATATGAGAATTTGAGTCAAATCGGTGAACATGAATTTGACAGCTAAAGACCTGGTGGTAAAAAAACTTTAAATGGCCTTGATCAGTAGGTCGACTTGATTTTTCCTTAAAGTCAAAATATATTTATATTTTAATAAACTTAGTAGTGTAATAAGGAACTATTCAAAATGTTATCAATTGTATTTTAACAAATACCAAATATTGAATGAAACAAAAATATTTGTGAA